ACTACAATTTGTTCTGTTCTGTTGTGGTGTGCTCTTACAACAATAAAAGGTTTAGAAAATTATTCAAAAAAATTATGACAAAGCTATTCAAGTAGAGTTATTTAAGTTTTCTGTGATATTATAAATTTTCAGTTGGATCGTAATAACAATAACGGTACCAATTCATCCGCACCAGATGCGCATTTCGACAATAAATGTCACTTCAGTGATGCTCGAGGCCAAAATATTTGAAAATTCACAGCTTATTAAAAAAAATGAAGACCTTATAAAACCAAAAGAAACAAAAAAGTATAGCCAAAGCGGGGCAAGGAATCAGAGCTTTTCCTGAGGGAAATATATTTCTTGATAAAACATAATTTCAAAAATTTTGTAACAGCAAATTTTTATAACACCAAATCCGTATTTTCATACCAGTACTGAAGGACTGGCTAATTGGCTGGTGATACTCTCGGGGCTTAACAAGGCTTCGTTGCGTTGCGATAGCGTCACGGTCAATTTGTCTAAGTTTACAGTTATGATTTCTATAATAGGAAAGAATGAAATGGTGTATCTTTTCTATATATAAAACACTATAATCACATGGAAGAAAAAACACAAAAGAAATTTAAGGAAATGCTGTTCCAAGTTCATCTCAAAATCACAACCAGACCTTCAACAATGAGTTAAAGCTATCACTATATTTCAAGTTTAAGACGGCTCATAACTCCGGTTTGGTTGGAACTTGGAATTATTGGCTCGATGGCGGTCAAGCTATATCTGGCTCGATGGCGGTCAAGCTATATCTGTGTTTTGAAGAACACACCAACAAGTTATAAATTCTATCGGACAAACAAATCTTACAAATGCTGTCATAAATTATTGCCTAGTATACGATCTCACTGCACAGATATAGGAATAATATATAGACATTTAAACAAACATTGATCATATAAAATAAATGTTAGATAATGAAATGGTGTGTGCATGGGACAAATAATTTGGTGGACTGCATACAAAGTTTGATAAATTAAACAATTGCCGAAAGCGTACAGAGGACGTAGCACACTTAAGAGATGTTATCTCGATAATAAATAACTGTAAAAATATAAGAACATACACCTCAGGCATGGGCAAACTTTTAACGAACTAATATGTTGATTTAAAAGAAAGTACATGCTGTATCAATTCATGAAAAAAAATCACTATACGTATAATACATAAAAAAAAACAAAAGAAACAGCTATTTAATTGCTATTCTTCGTCTCAAAGCCACAATGAGGCCTTCAAGATGAAGCAAAAACTCTCAACTCAATGCAAGTTGCTCCAGTTTGAGAGGAATTCTTGGCTAGATTTGGACCACACTACTTTTTCAGTACAGAACACAGCTGTGAGTGATCTTAACAAATTATACATTATCAGGCAAAGAATTCTAAATATACTGTCATAAATTGTCCGAACATCTCAGAAACAATACAAACATTTACACAATAACGGGGGAAATCAAGATATCTGTTAGATAACTTGGCAAGAAATAACGTGTATGAATATAACAAATGTAGGGATTAGTTGTAGAACTATGATTCCATAATCAGCCATTATGAATTTAGTAAAAAGTGCTATTTCACCCTCTGCTCTTTCTTGTTATATAATTTATAAAGCAAATGAGTATACAAAGTTTCTATAAAATCTTTCTTTTTGTCTTCACGGAATTGGTCGTTATGGATAGTTGTCTCAATGCATGCCATTCGTGCAATATATCTCCTTATTTTTATATTGATAAAGTTATTAATATTCAAAGTATGCTTTTGTTTTGAAATCTTCTATTGTGACTAGAAAACTATGAAGCAGGTCTTTCATTGTTTTGTTTTTTGCGTTCCTTTTCCTAATTTTTACCTTTTGTTTCTCTATTTCTTTCTTTATACATTTATTTGTGTATTTAATTTATCGTCCATCGCTTATTTACAGTTTTAGAAATGTTAAACTCGATTGAATATTCAACTGATATTTTCTTTTCGGTATTGAAATTTTGAACAACTTGATCTAGTTGGAGGTTAGACATTGGACAATATAAAGAATGGTTTTATTGATATAGAATCCAACAACAACACAAAACACTTTAAGACATTGGCATCCAAGAAGATATATAAAAGAGAGACAAATCTTGGTGAGTAATCCAAAAAATAACTAGTAATAATGATACATTACCATAAACACGGCTGAATTTTGGCTGCTTAATATTACTACAGTTTGACTAAAGCCAGCCCCCACTATCTACTTGCGTTTGTGGATAGTGGGGACTAGCTTTAGTCAGACTGATATTACTAAAAAATAATATAAAATCATGTTAATATATAACTAGACTAAATTATTACATATTATATATAATAAGCATGTTTCAATAACAATTGTCTCTTTTTCGTTTATCATTAATGTCAACTATTCCAATCATACAAATGTTCTTAAAATCAAAATCGTTGTTTTTCAATATAAAGATTTTCTTCAAATTCATACATTTCCTGAAATCTAGGTATAAGCTCAACAGTATAGATACCATTTTCTTTTTTATTGGTTCTATATCACGAAAAAATTAAATTCATCTCGGATCCTCTCTGTCAATTACTAATTTAATTTACAGGAAGTACAAATAACTTTTTTTCTAAAGGAACATTCCAGATGTAATTTTAACAGTTTACTATAATTGCTGATCCAGATTCGAATATAATTTGATACAACTTGTATGTTTCTGAAGATTAATAAGTAAACACTTTCAAAAGAAAAATAGCATGTTTTCAGTCATCTGTATCTTCTTTAGTGGTACGTAACACTACAGGGAGATAACTCTGTAAAAATCAGCTGAACGTTTTAATCACGTTCTATTGTTACGGAAGTATTAAGCTTCTCAATGATCAAAATTAGTTTTTGTCAGACTGCTATATATCCAATGAAATTTTTCCGATAAAGTGTGTGGTTTAAGTTTTTTGAAACTTTTATATTTTTGTCAAAGGGTCAAAGTAACTATCTTGTCAAAATTTTATGAAAATTAAACGAGCCAAATTAATTTTAGTCAAGGTGTTTGGTACCACCTTAATTTATTCTTGTTATGTTTATTTTCATTCGAAAAAATCCTTTTTTGCAGTATGTTATAGTTTTTTTTTTGTAACTTTCTCTGTAATGAAACCAAGGATTTGTATAGTGTATAAATCTTTGATGAAACTGTAACCTTTTCTGTTTTAAAAATGTTCTATATATGTCTATGCATGATTTGCCTGAATATTCTGAAAACGTAATTTTACAACAAATAAAAAACTGACTTTTGAACAGTAACCGTTGCAATATTATAATTTCAAGGGTTTCATGATGATAAGTCTTATTTGTGATTGGTGAGTATCATCACACACACAAAAAAGATAATAACGGTACTCTAAACTAGTTCCGTGACGGACTACGGATGAATCAATGTCAACAAAGAATTATATATGTAGTATTTCAAAATTAAACAGTGCATGTAAAATGCTTCAAACTTCCTCAGTGGATCTTATTTTTATCCTTTAAGAACATAAAAGAAATTGAAATGTAATTGAAATTACAATGACAATGTAATGACAATGTAATTAATAATTAATACAGTTAAAAACATTATAAAACTGTAATAATTATTGTAATGTTATTAAATCATCAGTATTTAACTGTATACCGCCATCATGGATTGCACAATAGCAATATACAATCGGTTTAGTTTTTTGCTGAAATTTGCTAATTTTGAAACAGCTTGGCAATTAATGCCTTAGACTGTTTAATTAATAAAGAAAAATAATCTAATTATTATATTATTTAAACTATTTCTACAAATATTTGTTTTTGTTATTTTTTCGATTCAATTTTCCAACTTAAACATATAAGGGTAGATAACTCTTATGGTTAATTTTTTACAAATGAATGTTAATAAAATTTTCATTTTTTACTTGTAGCAAGACTTCTACTTCTACCAGTTAGTGACCACCGTCATCATGTTGACTATTCTGTCACTTTTGGGTGTGCGCAAATATAATTTTGATTAAAGTAACAAACAAAAAAGGTGCTATACAAATATTTAACAGTGGGGATTAAAAACAAGGGCTTTTGATTTATTTGTTTGTCAGGAGCCTCTTGAACGATTCAAGGCTGCTGACAGATGTAACTGAGGAGGGTAAGGCATTCCAATTCCTGATGGTCCTCGGGTAGAATGACTCTTTCCTTGTTGTCGTGTTACATTGTGGGATCTGAAAAGAGTTTGTGCCCATATTTCTTGAGATCCTGTCCGGTGGAACGAGTTTGTGGCTTGCTGCAACGTTGACCTCCTGATTGTTGATCTTATACAGCATTGATAGTCGTGCGCTTCTCCTTCTATCTTCAAGTGGTGTCCACTTTAGTTGTTCCAACATATCAGTAACGGATGATCTGTTACTATACCGGTTTGTTACATATCTGGCCGATCTCCTTTGTACCATTTCTAACTTGTGTTTATCTTTTTGGAGGTATGGATCCCATAGAGAGCTGGCATACTCGACTGTTGGTCTAACGAGGGAGATGTAGGCCTTTTCTTTGATGTCGCTGTTAGAGATATTGAGGTTTCTTTTGAGAAATCCGATGGTTTTATTTGCCTTGGCACAGATGTTTCCGATATGTTTTTCCCATTTAAGGTCTGATGTTATAGTTACTCCTAAGTATTTTGCAGATGTTACGTGCTCCAAAGTGTGGCTATGTAAACGGTAATCCTTTATAATAGGTGTTCTGTTCTTTGTTACTGACAACAAGTTACATTTTAATTCACAATGAAATAGTTTTTTTCATGATTAATCTACGCAAATTCGGGCAATTTCTTGACCCGTACTTTTCATAATGTTTTTGAAAAAAACATGGTAAAATCTGGGACATAATACATGTATACATGTTAGTAAAATAAATGGATTAATATCGGAGACTCTTGCTTTCCTGACGGATATACGTATCCGGGCTTTATACTATTACCCACAATTTTGTGACGTAGACCACAACTCATGTGTAGTTGCTGGAAGCCGCCATTGCGTGCGAAATAACATATTGCAGTCAAACTCATTTGTCATACAATCTTGTTAAATAGTATAAATATAAGGGTGAATGAATATTTTTATATAAGCTACATGTTGATTTATATTCCCTTATCCTATATGCATTGTAAACCGCTCAATAAGCTTGTAAAGTAATCCTCATTGGGATCCGGTGGTCAGGGCTATTCTGATTTGGTCCCATACCGGCATATGGAATCTCCAGCAACGTCAAACAATATTTAAAAATAATACCCTATGTCTCCTTTAATCAAGGGTTAAATTATATATATGTTATAAAAGGTACGAGACGAGATTTATAAATATGTTTATATACTAAAGGTATCAGGTCGTTCCGGCCCCAAGTCAAATTATCCTGCCGTAAGTCAAGTCGATCCATCCAAACCAAGTCGAACAGGCCCCATAATAAAATAATGAATAATGTATATTAACATCTGAGGATTTGGTGACCTACCTGAGATTCAGGGTGAATAGAATTGCACAAAGTATTGATGAAAAGGATTCAGCAAATCAAACAACATTTCTCAATTTAAGAAGTTTTAGAACTTTAAGGAAAAGCAAAGTTTGCATGCATCAGCTTGGGGATGGGCTTGTACAGTTGTGTATACCACTATTTGTTATTGCAGCAGTTGAAAGACTTGTTAAGATTACAGTCAATTAAAAAAAAAGCTATTTACTGCTGATTAATATTGATGGTACTAAATTCTGTTATATATGTTTTTACTACAGAGTTAAAAAAATCTACTAGCCCGACGCCTGGGACTAAACCGTTTCTGCCTCGGACAATCAAATCTTGTCATCAATATGCCCGACGGACTAGTAAAAAAAGTTCTTGGCGTTACCTAAATAGAAATAGAAAATCCTTTCCTCACTATTTTTATCTTACATTTGTCTTAGCCAATCAGATTCAGTTACTTCATCCAGGATTCCAAGAATTTGAACTGATTTTTTACATAATATAAAAATAGAAAGAATAACTGGGTGGACCGGTATCATATATTGATCACATTTCCCGTACTTTCAATATCGATTTCTCAGGACTTTCAATTAACGGTACTGGGTAATGATGCATTGATTGATATGACATGTTACTTAGTAAAAATGATTTAGCCTACCAGAAATACATATTGAAATAGAATTCTAATGATAAAGTTTAAAAAAAATTAAGAATAAGTTTTAAGTGAAAATTTGACAGAATCATGTTGTTGAAACCAGAACACGTGTGCGCATGCGTGAGATTAAATTTTGCATCCAATTCTTCAAAAAGGGTGAAATTTGAAAAAAAGGCAGGGCAGGAGTTTTGAGTAAAAAAAAGGCAGGATGAGCAACTTAGCAAAAATGAAAAGGCAAGATGACAATTTATGTAAAAAAAAGTCAGGATAAACTAATTTAAAAAAAGGCAGGACCGAATAGAGTGAAAAATAAAAAGGCAGGACAGAGATTACAACTAAAAAAAAAATGCAGGACAAAATTTTTCATCCTAACCCCCATAAAAATCAAATGGTAGCTCCCTAAATACATAGTAACACTAGAAACATATATGTCCCTGGTAACACAATAGTCTTGAAAACTTGTAATAAAAACATAATTAACATAATTGTTTTATAATGCATAATCATCCGTAAATTAGATATTTAAATATTTGTCAAAGGCACATATTTTTACCGTCCACCATTTATATTATAAAATTCATAAGCATTTATGCATTATAATTCATATATATATTTATCCCTCATAAATATTTTTCAAGTTTGGACTGGATCGACTTGGGACAGATCGACATGAAAGCATACTAAATATACTAACAAGTTCATCATGTTCATCAATTTGATAAAATTACTGTTTATAGTTCGTGAGTAAAAAATTTCATAAACAGTTGTTTGAACCTTCTTGTCATTGATCATGTTTATCTGTTCGAAAGATTGATAGTTTCTTCTTGAAAATGAACCAAACATCAAGATTTTAGGGCAAAGATAAATAAGTTCTGGCTTACAAGTTTTGAAAATTATCCTAAATTGTTGAAGTCAGACACTTGATCATTGTTGATGGGAAGCAGACGCTTCATCTGACTGGAAGCTTTTGGGGCATACCAATACTGAATTTGATGTCACTGCTTGCTTTTAACATGTAAATTACATAAAATTAGCCTACCTTCAAAGCGATCCTACTTTATAATCCTCACTTTAATAATCTTTTTGCTATTACAGAGTTCGCGAAAACTTATTTTGACCCGCCGGTCATGGGACCGACAAAGCATGATTATTTGTCAGTCCTACAAAATTTTAGCCAGTCCTACAAAATCTGTCAATTTTATCCTGAGAAAAAATTGATAACATATTTTATCGAAAAATAACTTTATTAATATTAGTTTTATTCTTCGCACCCACAGGCAAATTAACAATGAAGGACCAGTTCAGGTCTTCTGATTGTTCTTATTTAAAGTCATCTTCACTATCCATTTCATCATCTGAATCACTTTCTCGGCTGTTACAGTATTTGTTTGCTCCATTGTAGGGTTCAATCGCCGATTGTTTGCCAGGGATGGCTCTATGGACAAATTAAGTAGGCCACGTGTAGATCGCCGCTTTGGTTTGTTTATAATAAATCCGTAAACCAGTACCGGAAATTGGAAGCGGATACATCTGATAACCGATGTAAACACTTGTTGGAAACAGTTGCGGTACATCTAATAACCGATGTAAAAAAGTGCCGAAATATGCACTACAACGGCCGTTTTTACATCGGTCATCGGGACCGGCAATAGCCTTCAAAATACTGGTCCGAGTCTCATTTTGACCGACAGGACCGACAGGACCGACCATTTTCGTGAACTCTGCTATTAAATTCAGTTTGATTGTCTACATTCAAAATTTGATTGACAAGATTTAAAGTTTGACAAGTTTCATACTGTTATTTACTAAATTCAAACTTTTATTGACTAGATTTGAATGTCAGTTATATGCAGTCATGAGAAGATTTGGTATGTGCTTTGATATTCTCTTTTGAATACAGTTTGGACAAGCAGGCAGCAAAACTTTTATAGTTGTCAAGATATTTTCATCTCTTCTAGGTGAAGTTCTAGCATTAGGTTCAGCCTATTAAATGACAGTAGATAACATGTATCTGTCGAAATTGGTTTAGGTATTGTGAATAAAAGTGTGAAACTAAATAATGTGACGGAATGACAGTGCAAACCTAAAAGTCTCCCTCGGCTATACAGGTTGGGTACTAAAGAAGCAAACACTATATAACTGAAAACAATTGGGCAGTGAATTCCTGCCAAAAATTCCAGGCCCCCATTTTCAGTTCTTAGCCCCAGTCAAGATAAAAAAAAACAAAGAGAAGTCAGACGAGCTGCTAAACTATCATTCCCTTTGACAATGTAGATAAGGGAAAAGTAAAAACCATATACCAAAAAGAAATTGGGCAAGTGTTTCTACCCAATCTTAATTGATTTTCCTCTACCTATGAACCTAAATAGATATAGAAATAAAAGACAAAAAAAACGCAGAGGAGACCAATCCCCTCTGAGAATTAATTTTGTACATCTGTGTGTACTATAAGCCTAATAACGTTTTCCACGTCCAGAAGATTGTTGACGATGTCATTTCATGTTTCATCATCGTAGTATTCCAACAATAAAAGATTTTTGCACAAGTTCACACCTTAGTTTCCACATTCAGGGCCTAATCTAGGATTTTGGAGAGTGAGAAGTGACTTCTCCTTCCATGAGAGAGTAGGGAGAAGTGGTCTATTTCTTGGAGAAGTGAAATTCCTTTACTGTTTCCTTGGCATAGTGTTTTCGTGATTATCACTAAGGAAATTTGTTTATATATGCAATAAAAATATACTTGCAGATTTTTTCATATGATATTGTACAAAATGTATACATATTGAAAATTCTTAATAAAGAGTCAATTCGCCTGCAAGATTATGGCCTGCACATTTAACAACTACAGATGGACTTAATGTAAACTTGCTAGTACTATGTTGTCTTTTTTTCACAACATGTATACAACATTTTATAGCAAATGACTTGTACAGTACGGGTAGAGACTTATTATTATGGATGTCTTAATCCGTCTAGATGTCAGACTGGCCGGACAGTTGTCTCAGTGTAATTAACACCTGCTGTGATATTAACCTGTACAATACCCGAGTGGAAGGTCGTAAATCAATCTGTAGTTCTGTACCAGCTTGATTAGAATTAAATTTTACCTGTACAGATATTTTAGTATTTATGGAGGATAGATAATAAATGTAAAATATTGTTTTGTATTCAAAGAAAAAATTACAATAAAAATAAAAATTTAATATCATGAATATGGGATTAACTTTTTTTTAACTTGAAAATGAAAGAAAGACGATTTTTAACAATGTACTGTAAAAATGTGTTGCCAATTATAATAATTGTGTTTGTGCCAATAAACTATTTGTATTTGTAAACGGTAAATATTTCATTTTACTCAAAATTATAACAACCAGGACTGTTTTCAATCGAAGTTTTAATCAAAATGTTGAGACATCAATCCCGTAAATTATACGAGTTTTCGTTGATGGTTACAATATTTCCCCCTTTTAACATCCTGTTCCTTAAAGTTATTAATAGAAACACAATTTTAAGTATAAGGCCAACATATCATATTTATAAAGTATATAAACAAATTGAATATAGGCATTGTGAATAAACTGTTATTTTCCTTTCGATACCACGTTCCCCGTCGGAGCCTCTACGTCTATTCATACCTGTCAATCATTTCTCGCAAGTAAAACAATTTGGTCAGCCAGATCATCCGTGCTTTCTATTTTGACATATATTTCCCGTTAATCTCTTTGAAACAATTGTTTTTTTTTACAATATTTATAACGCAGTGATCATCTTTCGATTCCTAGTTTTTATATAAAAAAAACTTTTCATATGCACGTCAATATTCTATGACCCAGCATTATTTTAAATTTTGTTTGTTAATAAATTTACATATAATGGAAATAACAGATTTGTTGACACTCGTTGTATTATAACAAAGATATTGCCTTTCTATTTCCATGTTTGAAATTTTAATGCAAATCGTGTTTTTTATTAACATATTTTACGAATTGTGTCAATCAATACATGAAGATCAAAGTTTTACACTATTCATGATAAGCCGTCTTTACTTTTGCGTCGTATTTCTAGCCATTCTCTAAAGCTTGTGCAGTCAGTAAGATTTTGTAAATCGATGTCGACAGTTTAAATTGTATAATTCCCGAACTTTAAAGGAGGTGTCCGAATAAATTATTTAAATAGGAATCTGGGTGTTGACTAATAAATATAATAAATACAATAGTTAAAGAAGACTAAAGCTTGTTTTGTTTATAATTACAAGGATTAAATTTTCTATTCTGGTAAATCAATTATTAATGGATCTCGATCAAGAGCCTCAAAACTAACGCACAATACTGCCAATCATTACGTATCAAATTAAATCATGAATGGATTTTCACACGGTCGGTCAGTAAGGTCACCTGTGTTAACTCTTACGATATTTCCCGCCATAAGAAAATCACGTGCATTTGACAAAATTAATCCCAGCTATTTTTAGCATTCAACATTGTGTTGTGTGTGAAGTCAAGTTCAAAGTTCAACCACATGCTGTTGATCACTGATATGTGTATCATGGAATCGTCTTTTCACGGCAAATATTTTTTTAGATTGGTGTCAAAAATACAACATACAAGTCAACATGCATTGTGCGTAAATTAATATTATGCAATTAAGAGTCAATGCAGCACCATACAATTATTTAAATAGGAGTAATTGCATTTCTTTAGACTACAAATCATAGTAAATATTTAATTAACTGGTCATCAAACGATTGAATGCTTCTAGTTTTTCACAAATTCACAATTATAAAGAATCACCAAACTACTAGTATACAAGTATTGCTCTCTGTAATTATTTTTATTTCAGAACTGACCCAACGCAGACTGAAAATTAAATACAAATGTAGTGTTGTCAAACTAAAACGTATGCAGCAGCACTTTGCACATCATTCTGCTAATCAATGGGTTTACGTGGAAAATAAATCAGTAAAACAAAAATAACCTTCCAGAAATAAAAAAGAAAATATTTTAAAAACTGTATGCCAACAAATACGAAAAAGATACATAACAAAAAAAAACCAGGGAACATAGAAAATAATATTTTGAGGAATATAAACAGCATTTGAAATATAAAAAAAACATAATTAAAAAAATAGGCTATTTTTATTAAAACAAAGTTGTCTCCAGTACTTCACCTGTAAACATATTTTATGTCAAATACGATGTAGAACTAATCAATAAAGTGACTGAGAGGTTAAAATCACAGGTAACCTGATTCTGAAATCAGTGAAGCGTAATAATCTAGTAGCACGGATTGAGATGAAAGGACAATTATATTACCGTGCACACCTGGATCTGTTGATTAATGACCATACAACCTACCATAAAAAAGTCGGATTATTCATTTCCAACATGTCCCAATCCGTTATTTATAGTAATAAGTCTCTACCCGTACTGTACCTCACCCTTTCCGAATTAACCCTTATACCAATGACAAATTTCGATGAGGAGAGAAACTTCTGGAAATTCTGGTCACATTTAAAACAAAATAGAATCCATCAGCTTCTTTATAGGAAGTGACCAGGGAAAAATGTAAAAAAAACAGTGTAAAAACGTTTGAGTTGGTAGGGTTTTCAATGGGTTGGTTCGGCGAAGGGAAAACATACTATTTAGTGTGGCCTGAAGTGTAATTTTGCTGGTAATTTTGTCTAAGAAAATATATGAAATTCTTATAAAGTCATTAAAATGTTATTTTGAATTATGTTTCAGCAAATTCAAGATGTCGAGGTTTTTTATGGGATCTGATTCTGAATCAGATGATTCAGTAAGCGATACAGAGGTAGCACCACGAACCACTACCAAACCAGCAACGTAAGTATTAAGCTCTGTCTTGTTAAAATCATCAATATTATTGATAGATTTATGCAACAGTTTTAACCTAGTTATATATGTTTTTATACGACCGCAAAAAAATTTTTGTGGTCGTATATTGGTATGACGTTGGCGTCGTCGTCGTCATCGTCGTCGTCGTCCGGCGTCGTCGTCGTCGTCGTCCAGCGTCGTCTGGCGTCGTCCGAAGACACATTGGTTTTCGCACTCTAACTTTAGTTTAAGTGAATGGATCTTTATGAAATTTTACCACAAGGTTCAATACCACAAAAGGAAGGTTGGGATTGATTTTGGGGGTTATGGTAATAACAGTAAAGGAATTAGGGGCCAAAAAGGGGCCAAAAATAAGCATTTTTGTAACTTCCAGACATAACTTGTGTGTAAGTGTATGGATCTCTCTGACATTGTACCACAAGGTTCCATATCACTAAAGGAATGCTGGGATTGATTTTGGGGGTAATTGCCTCCAAATTTTAGGAATTAGGGGCCAAAAAAGGGGCAAAAAACAAGCATTTTTCTAGTTTCATGACAATAACTTGTGTATAAGTGTATGGATCTTTCTGAAATTGTACTACAAGGTTCCATATCACAAAGGGAAAGCTGGGTTTGAGTTTGGGGGTAATTGCTCTAAACGTTTAGGAATTTGGGGCCAAAAAGGGGCCAAAAAACACATTTTTTTCTAGTTTCCAGACAATAACTTGTGTTCAAGTGTATGGATCTCTCTGAAATTGTACTGCAAGGTACCATACCACAAAGGGAAGGCTGGGATTGAGTTTGGGGGTGATGAATCATAATGGGGGTTCAAAAAATTTTGGGGGGGATTTATTTTTTTTTCCTTTTTTTTCTTTTTTTCCTTTTTTGTTTCTTTCAAAATTTTCCATTTTAAGTTGGTTATTTCTGATTTATATTTAAAATCAAATAATAATGATATGGTAGGAGATACACACCAAACAGGATGTGTAAATTATTATATAATAAGTATTGTGCAATAGCAAGAAATTTTCAATTGCACAGTATTGCACAATAGCAAGAAATCTTCAATTGCACAGTATTGCGCAATAGCAAGAAATCTTCAATTGCACAGTATTGCGCAATAGCAAGAAATATCCAATAGCACAATATTGCGCAATAGCAAGAAATTGTCAATTGTACAGTATTGCGCAATAGCAAGAAATATTTAATAGCACAGGATTGTGCAAAAGAAGATACTTCCTATAAATTGCTTATTTCTTGACCAATTTCAATGGGGTTTTATTCTTGATTTCATGGGGTTCTTTAATATGCTGAATCTAACCGTGTATTTAGTTTTTGGATTTTGGGCCCCGTTTTTAAATTGGTCCACATTGAGGTCCAAAGGGTCCAAAATTAAACTTTGTTTGATTTCATCAAAAATTGAATTATTGGGGTTCTTTGATATGCCGAATCTAACTGTGTATTTAGATTCTTAAATTTTGGTTCTGTTTTCAAATTGGTCTACATTAAGGTCCAAAGGGTCCAAAACTAAACTTAGTTTGATTTTAACAAAAATTGAATTCTTAGGGTTCTTTGATATGCTGAATCTAAACATGTATTTAGATTTTTGATTATGGGCCCAGTTTTCAAGTTGGTCCAAATCGGGGTCCAAAATTAAACTTTGTTTGATTTCAACAAAAATTGAATATATGGGGTTCTTTGATATGCTGAATCTAACCATGTATTTAGATTTTTGATTTTTGGGCCCCGTTATCAACTTTGTCCACATTGAGGTCAAAAGGGTCCAAAATAAACTTTGTTTGATTTCATCAAAAATTGAATTATTGGGGTTCTTTGATATGCCGAATCTAACTGTGTATTTAGATTCTTAATTTTTGGTTCCGTTTTCAAATTGGTCTACATTAAGGTCCAAAGGGTCCAAAATTAAACTTAGTTTGATTTTAACAAAAATTGAATTCTTAGGGTTCTTTGATATGCTGAATCTAAACATGTATTTAGATTTTTGATTATGGGCCCAGTTTTCAAGTTGGTCCAAATCGGGGTCCAAAATTAAACTTTGTTTGATTTCAACAAAAATTGAATATATGGGGTTCTTTGATATGCTGAATCTAACCATGTATTTAGATTTTTGATTTTTGGGCCCCGTTATCAACTTTGTCCACATTGAGGTCAAAAGGGTCCAAAATTAAACTTTGTTTGATTTCATCAAAAATTGAATTATTGGGGTTCTTTGATATGCCGAATCTAACCGTTTATTTAGATTCTTAATTTTTGGTTCCGTTTTCAAATTGGTCTACATTAAGGTCCAAAGGGTCCAAAATTAAACTTAGTTTGATTTTAACAAAAATTGAATTCTTAGGGTTCTTTGATATGCTGAATCTAAACATGTATTTAGATTTTTGATTATGGGCCCAGTTTTCAAGTTGGTCCAAATCGGGGTCCAAAATTAAACTTTGTTTGATTTCAACAAAAATTGAATATATGGGGTTCTTTGATATGCTGAATCTAACCATGTATTTAGATTTTTGATTTTTGGGCCCCGTTATCAACTTTGTCCACATTGAGGTCTAAAGGGTCCAAAATTAAACTTTGTTTGATTTCATCAAAAATTGAATTATTGGGGTTCTTTGATATGCCGAATCTAACCGTGTATTTAGATTCTTAATTTTTGGTTCCGTTTTCAAATTGGTCTACATTAAGGTCCAAAGGGTCCAAAATTAAACTTAGTTTGATTTTAACAAAAATTGAATTCTTAGGGTTCTTTGATATGCTGAATCTAAACATGTATTTAGATTTTTGATTATGGGCCCAGTTTTCAAGTTGGTCCAAATCGGGGTCCAAAATTAAACTTTGTTTGATTTCAACAAAAATTGAATATATGGGGTTCTTTGATATGCTGAATCTAACCATGTATTTAGATTTTTGATTTTTGGGCCCCGTTATCAACTTTGTCCACATTGAGGTCAAAAGGGTCCAAAATTAAACTTTGTTTGATTTCATCAAAAATTGAATTCTTGGGGTTCTTTGATATGCTGAATCTAACCATGTATTTAGATTTTGGATATTGGACCATAATAGGTGAATGTCCAATTTAAAATTTTTAAGTTCTTAGACCACATTCAATCTGTGTTAGAAACCTATGCTGTGTCAAATATTTAATCACAATCCAAATCCAAAGCTGTATCAAGCTTGAATGTTGTGTCCATACTTCCCCCAACTGTTCAGGGTTCGACCTCTGCGGTCGTATCAAGCTGCGCCCTGTGGAGCATTTTATTTTATATTAGAATTATGACACTAGAAAGATTTTTAGTGGATTTAGATTGTCAAATTTTACTTCCTCAATATGATATAAAAAATTGTAAAAATGAAAACACATTTAATAGCATGAATAGATAGATGCTATTTCTGACTTGGTAAAGGTAGAAATTTTGATAAAGAATTCTGCAATCGATAGATGTAGTAAGTGTCAAAGTTAATTAATTTTGATACAAAAAAGTATTATCAATTGACATGATTATAAGTCAGGTGATCAAAAGGAAATTTTATGATTTTCTTATTAGAAGTTAACTCACAAGGAGCAAAATCAATGAATGCATGCACAGTCAACAGTTCCCAGGTAAATTTAAGATAACATTTATTTTTGAAGGGGATACCAGTTCAGTGATGAAGAAGAAGAAACAAAACGTGAAGTTAGAAGTGCTAAAGATAAAAGGTGAGATATAAAGGATATAACTTCAACTAAATTATTTTATAAAAAGCTTTTGCAAACTTTTTAATTCAAAAAATTATTTGTTTCAATCTTTGACTTCAATTGGAAATATACAACCATCCACCATTCATTTATTTTATGTCTCTCATTCTTGATACAATCTATTGTTGAACAGCCCTAAGTAATATTTAATAAAAGTATGTCTTTTATCATAAGTAATTTTGTATAATAATGTTAATTACATCAATTTCTTAAATAGAATAAAAGAACAAATTTTCAATAATAACAGAAGACTGATTTGTCCTAATGTATCAAATTTGATAATTTTCTTACAGATTTGAAGAATTAAAGAATATTATGAAAAACATGAATAACCATAAAAAGATTAAAGATATGGCCAATGTTCTTCAGGGTAAGTCAGTACAAGATGAACATCAATATAAGTTGTTTGAACATAACACCAGTAATGTAATGTCATAAACTTGGACATACATGTAGATGTCATCATTTTTAATTGCCGTATTTCCTTGGTAACTGCCATAAGTGAAAATTGCTCTTATAAGGCAATTACTAAATATGAAAAAAATTTGAAAATTTCCAGCTCATCACGTAAATTTATTATTTATTTTGCAAAAGGAATTATATGAGGCTTAAATTTATAAGGGGAGTTGAATTGAGGGACTTGTTTTTTATTCTTTGACTGTTGTTTCCAATTTATTTGAAAGAAGAAAATTTTTTAAAGTTATATGAATAATGTATATGTTATAGTATCAATATTTAAATTTATAATAATATAAATATTATCCTGATCTTTGCTGAATTGAAATAAAGGATAAAGTCAAAATGATATCACATTGTTATTAAATTGTATGTCAATTGACAAACAGAGACCACTATTTTCAGAGTAAAGTTTCAATATTTTACTTCCATTAGTACAAATACAGTCTGTCATTATGGGGCTTACAAATTCATTGTTTGGATCATTGATTCTTTCTTCATCACTTTGATCATTCTTTCTTTGTGGATTTAACATATTTTTTTGCATGTATCATATATATCAATCAAATTCTTTGAACAGATATATGCTGGTCCGGGTACACAGTTATCGTCCTTTGATTTTCGTTGTCCACGAATATAGTCCCTAGTGTGGACAGTGTGTTACTTGTCGATTTTTTTTATACCCCTTCCGAATTTATTTCTCCATGTTTTATGACTCAAATAGTAAGTAGGGGGGTGAAATGACACTGTAAAAAAATTTGGGTCATGAATTTTAAAGTAAAGTAGTGATTTGGTCCAGCTGAAAAATGTTAAAAATTAGCACATCGGAAGCTGTCAAAAGATTTGAAGACCCCCTTAGCATGAAATTGTCCATATTTTGAGTTAGAGCCGATGAAGTTTTCTATAATTTTGATATAATTTGTCCCAAAAGTAGTACAACACACTGTAAAAATATTATTGAGAAAGCGCAGGTGGGATTTTTTTAATTTCCATTTATTGTCTAAAAGAAATGCACTACGAAATAACTGTGTACTCGGACCTAAGAGGTGAAATCAGGAAATATAGAATCTGTACTTTGGCAACTTCCCTGAATGATTTGATGGTGTCAATTTATCAAATAGCATAAAACTAAAGGATTTAAACTTTTATTTGATAGAATTTCTGCAAAAATGACCAATTTTGGCATTTTATGGTCAAAATAAGCATTTCATAGCTTTTTCAATTTTGATGCATAAGTGGCATTCTGACTTTCTATCTGACAGGTTTTTATGTGTCAATATTTGTGTTTCTATGTTTCAATCCAGTTGTATTACTCATTTGTGAACTCTGAATCTACAGAAAAGAAGATTATCTCAGACAATATGCGCAAAATGTGTTGTATATATGATCCTCGTCTAACGCCCTGTTTGGATCAAGTTAAATGTGAGGAGCCTGGAACATAAAAGTTGAAGTCCATTATAAAGACCTCACTAAATTTGTATAAAAAGCACTTAACAATGTCTTTTGTACCTGTTTTATGTCACATAATACCTTTCTTTTCTTCTGTAGGATAGCAAGTGGTTCAAATATAAGCCTGTTGAGACTAAAATTGCATGCATGTTTTTCACTAAAAAGTGAAAAATCTTTGTATCAGACCATACTGTCTGCAAAAAAAGTTGAATGCAAGAGTCTTTTTGTGCTCAGATTTATTGTATCATGTCACCTGAGTATAGAAATGATAGAAAAGACACAAAATTTTATTTCATATAGCTTCAATATGCATTTTTAAATGTAAATATGTGATACGGCCTAAATTGACCCTAAATTATTTTCAGTCTTACTTGGCCTAAGACCCTTTTAAGCTAATGTGATATGTTATTTGTAAGTTTTCTTTCCATTTAAAGTACATTAAATACATATGTAAGGATTATTTATAACCAAAAAGCTTTACAAATTTAAAATTGCTGGAAAATATTACATCTTCATGTAAGGCCCCCCTTCATTGGAAAACCTCCATTTTTAGCCACAGGCTCATATAAATTTGACTTTTTAATAATTATGATAAGTCTGATGAATCAAATGAGTACTCTATTGCTTTTAATACATAATATATTATATATTAAGGCATTTCAAAAGTATTTTTTTGCAATATTTTAATTTTTTAAGCCTCAATTGTTGATAGTTGAAAATTTTCAATTTTAACGTCTAAATTTAACACTCAAAGTTCAATATAGAATTAGTCATATTGTCTATAATATATATCCTATTGCCATGAAACTTTGTAAGCAGTCTTATAATTTAATAAGCTTTAGTCATACCAAGTTTCATTAAGATTGGTCAACTTTTTCTACCCTATTAGGTCCGGGTACACAGTTATCGTCCTTTGATTTTCGTTGTCCACGAATATAGTCCCTAGTGTGGACAGTGTGTTACTTGTCGATTTTTTTTATACCCCTTCCGAATTTATTTCTCCATGTTTTATGACTCAAATAGTAAGTAGGGGGGTGAAATGACACTGTAAAAAAATTTGGGTCATGAATTTTAAAGTAAAGTAGTGATTTGGTCCAGCTGAAAAATGTTAAAAATTAGCACATCGGAAGCTGTCAAAAGATTTGAAGACCCCCTTAGCATGAAATTGTCCATATTTTGAGTTAGAGCCGATGAAGTTTTCTATAATTTTGATATAATTTGTCCCAAAAGTAGTACAACACACTGTAAAAATATTATTGAGAAAGCGCAGGTGGGATTTTTTTAATTTCCATTTATTGTCTAAAAGAAATGCACTACGAAATAACTGTGTACTCGGACCTGCTGTCTGATTGACAATACCAATTTTATGAGCTAATAAACTGATTGGCGAATTCAAAATGCCATAATAGACAGGCAGCTTGATCCAAAATAATTGGACCGTTCAAAAGTTGTCATAAAATTTCTCCTTTTACACTAATTATAAAGATGAAAAATGTTAAAAGTTAAAGAAAACTTCCATATTAGAAATCTGAATATATTTAATCTTTAAAATTATGATTTTACTTGTACAAACAATTCTTGTAATTTTAAACATACTTAAAAAAAGGTGTTTATTGCATTCAATTTATAGCGGAAAGAATAGCAGGAATTTTGCTTCATTGTATTTTCAAATCATATATCTCCTTCCAGATTTTGAAGATTTGGCGAAGGCTTATGTCAAAACTAAAAAGGTGATAGAACAGACAGGAATACCCAGATTTTATATTAAATGTCTGGTCGAGTTAGAAGATTTTATCTGTGAGGTAAGGAATCAGAAGATCATGAACATTTCAATTATACTTGGCTGTTAAATGTAAATCAACAAAAAACCTGAAAGTTTTAGAAATGAAAAATAAATTTCATCTCATAAATTCAAAATATAAAATGAGGATAATTGGTATGATTGGTAATGAGACAACTATCCAACAGAGTCCTGGTGACGTGGATTTATTAAAGCAACTATATGTCAGTGTACAGCCTTCAACTCATGCTGTATTGTGAGCTATACAAAAAGGTCCCCACATAATAAAATGTAAAACAATTCAAATGAAAACAGGCCAACAGCCATATTTACGACAAAACAATAAACCAAATACAAATATGATAGACAGCAACCCAACTGCTTCATTGATATGCATATAGAACCTTGATAGTCAATTTCAAAAATAAAAGCAATTATCTTCCTGGTTTCCTTTATTCTCTTACTAGCTCTCATTGAATGGAGACCAGTGTATATTTTTGTAACAGACATATTGGATATGTTGGTAAGCCATGCTTTATCCAGTACAAAATATTTTTTTTATTATCTACTACATTTTGTTACAAATAATTCCAATATTTTAGGTAAGAATTAAGTTCAAGCTGTAAGTTTCTAGTGCAATTTTTTTTTTACAGATGTGGGAAGATAGAGAAGGGAGAAAACAGATGAGTAAACCTAATAGTAAAGGTCTGACTACACTTAGACAGAAACTAAGAAAATATATGAGGGACTTTGAAGATGATATTAAAGCATATAGAGAGGTAATGGTTGTTCATGAAAACGTTCTTTGGAAAGAGGGGAATTGAAGGCACTGGTATTCAGATTTTTTGTGTTTTTTTTTAGATAATTAAAAATGGAATAAATTGTTGTATACCCCAAAAAAGTCTTCATATATTTATTTGGATTCAATGTGTAAAAAAACAACATATATATTCAAGGAAAATTTTGAATTTATCAATGGAGTAATCTATTTTCTTTGCTTTTTTGGAAATAGTACTCACCAACCATTTTAGTTCCTACTTAAGAGAGTTCAAATACAACAATAAAATTGTCATATAACTATATTTATTTAATTTCAGAATCCTGATGCTGAGGAGGAAGAATTACAAGGTAAGATCACCACTCTTTAATCAATTTGTTTTGAAAAGCATATTTGAAAACACAAATTTATACATGTATGTGCACAAGCACAGTTGCTCTTTTCAGTACATGTAAATGCAAAAAAGCACACACACATAAACCTATAGTTTTAAACTTTTTTTTTTTTAAAGAAAATTTTATGATTGATAAACAAAAGACCAGATGACAAATACATTAATGATTCTAATTGAATTTTAGATATTCAAACTTAACATTGATGTTAAAACAATCTTGAATCAATGATTGCACAATCTGTTCAAGCCTTCTGAAATTTTAATAATTTTTGATGAATTTTTATATTTTTTTGTACAGCTGAATCAGAAGACGAAGAAGATATAGAAGTAGTTCCTTCTATCAAACCTAAAGCAGCTGACGGCTTTCTCAAACCAATCGTAAGTTGTTCCTTCTATCAAACCTGAAGCAGCTGACGGCGTTCTCAAACCAATTGTAAGTTGTTCCTCCTATCAAACCTAAAGCAGCTGACGGCTTTCTCAAACCAATCGTAAGTTGTTCCTTCTATCAAACCTAAAGCAGCTGACGGCTTTCTCAAACCAATCGTAAGTTGTTCCTTCTATCAAACCTAAAGCAGCTGACGGCTTTCTCAAACCAATCGTAAGTTGTTCCTTCTATCAAACCTAAAGCAGCTGACGGCTTTCTCAAACCAATCGTAAGTTGTTCCTTCTATCAAACCTAAAGCAGCTGACGGCTTTCTCAAACCAATCTTAAGTTGTTCCTTCTATCAAACCTAAAGCTGCTGACGGCTTTCTCAAACCAATCGTTAGTTGTTCCTTCTATCAAACCTAAAGCTGCTGACGGCTTTCTCAAACCAATCGTTAGTTGTTCCTTCTATCAAACCTAAAGCAGCTGACGGCTTTCTCATACCAATTGTAAGTTGTTCCTTCCATGAAAATTAAGTTACCAATGTCTTTCTTAATCTTATGTATATTTGAATACATGAAATGCATTTTTTCTCAATGAAAAATGAACACCAATTTAAATTAAAAAAAAAAGTTATTTAATTTTTGTCGTTGTTGAAGAAGTGCAGTTTCAGTGCCTCTTTCTGGAAATAATTATTAAGTCAAACTTCAATATAAAAAATATACTACACATTTGGAGATTTCCATTCTAGTCAAAATCATCAGATATAAAAATTTTATAGAATAAGGTGTAAAAAATCATTGTACATTCTAGAATTGAAATATTGAAAGAATTTGCATAAATATTGAGAAATTCAATATATCTTTTGCAATAGAAAACACATTTTCTAGTAAGATTATGGAATTGAAAATTAACCCCAAAAAATATTGAATATGAAATCTAAAAAAAATGTCTGACTAGCTACAAAATTGGCTGGATCACAGCTATAACAAAGCTTTGATTTCAAATGTCATTGGATCAACCAGTATGAAATAAATGTTTTCCATAGTTTAATAGTCCCAGAGCATGAAGTTGTGTATTGAACATTTACTGTTTGATTTTCCTAATGTAAACACAAAAAATTGTATTTCCTTGTAGGATAAAGCTGCTGCTGAAGCAGATGATGATGATGATGATGATAGTTTATGGGGGTCTGATCATGAATCCTCATCCAGCAGTGACGATGAATTACCATCAGTTGGTGGTCTTAGACAGTATACCGCAGCTATGTTCTTGAAAAAGTAAGTACTTTTTTTAATATATTCTGATTTTAAGGATGGTTCTATAATAGTACAATTAGATCTACAATGTGACACTGAATGTGTATAATAAGACGCTTTGTAGGTACAGTCAAACCTGTATTAAGCAGTCACACTTGGGAAGTATCAAAAGTGACCACTCAAGAGAGGTGACCTTTTAATCATGGTTCCAAAAAATTCGATTCCAACATCACCTGTGTCTTCCAGATCAATATTATAATCAGTAGCTAGTTTTGTGTATTGTATATTTCAGAGTATTAAATTATATCCATGCTCTAAAAGGGTGGCTATATTACAATCACCCTGTCTGTCCATTCATCCAACACATACTTTAGTCACACTTTTCTTAGAAAGTACTAAACAAAAAGACTTCATATTAGGTCAGCAGGTCAACAGTGATCAGTTGTAATGTGCAGGGCTCACACTACTTCAGAATCATTGGGAGAAGTGACTTCTCTTTTTGAGTAGGGAGAAGTGGTGAGATTTGAAAGAGAAGTGCTCCTTCGCGCGCTGCTCTACAATGTTTTGATTTTACTATAGTATAAAGGGCCTTATGTAAATAATGTTCTTATTATATTGTTCAATTCATATCTGAGTATACAATTAAATTAACAGTTCAAATTCAAAGTTGTTTAGGTTCTTGTGAGAAAACTGTTACTACCAACTAAATATCTAGCACTAAAAAGATTTTTTTTTTATGTCAAAAAGGTAAAGAAGTTATAAAATATGAATTACAATTCAATCAAAAACTTGTTTATCATGTTTATAAAATTCAGTGTTTCTCATCAAAAGATATACAAAGTTAAGCTAGCCATAATATATTGATATTAGTGGTTAAGCAACTTTGATCAATATTTTGAAACAATCCATATAAATTATATGGAACTATATACATTAATCAATTAGATCCAACCAAAAGTCTGTTAATGCGTGTGGAATGCGTAATTTTTCCTTTTGGGATCAATATTCTTCAGTCAGCTGTTCCATTCATGCGTCCGTAGTTATTATTGTAAAAATACGGATTTCCGTCATAGCTGGTCCGGTTCCGATCCGTAGTTAGATAACGGTTAATGGCGGACGAAGAAAATTTACAAAAATAAACGATGTTTGACAAGCTATTTGGAAAGGAATATGACTTTTTTAATGCAATAAATGGATTAAACATTTACTGGAGGCAACTTTTATCACTTTCAAATGAAGTAACAAACTTTTTTGGCTGCCGAAAGTTAGATTGATGTACGCTCTCTGAGTAACAAGTACCGGAAGTGCATGCAGTGATAAAAAGTTGTCTTTTTATTAAATAACCTACTACACACTGTAAATTCAATGCTTAAACCTCGTTTCTTAAGAAAATGAATCGTTTATGTCTGAATTTCTTTAATAATCAATAAAAATTGATGTTTTATCAACTTGGTAAAAATTGAAAATGTCCGATGACGAAAGCGACTGAAAGCGAGTATCGTCAACAACAGGGCGACATGTTTTCGCTTTTGAGGGTCGGGCAAAGCGAAGTGACGGACGGGAAAGCGACTTCTTCGCCCTAGTCGCCTGGTAGCGTGAGCCCTGAACGTGTGTGCGCTTTCGGATCTGTCTGACACATACTTCCTGTTTTCCAATACTTTGAATTATGTGTGGGGGTAAGCTTATTTATTGAAAATTGATGTAAGCTAATAAAATATGTAAACACATTTGTCTTCAAGCAATAAACATCATGAGGCAATAATCAAAAAGAATGAATGAAATTAGTCTTTAAATTAAATATGTAAAGGCATCACTTTGAATTTTGTCAGGTAAAATAATTTTATAGATTCTCTTCCCTGTTTATAGCTGCAGGCTACCAGTACAGAAATCATGTTGCATTAAAGGAGGATAATATTCACAGAGAGAATACATTCTTCCAATATACAAAAAGTACAGAAAGTTGAAACTCTTTAAAGATCTGTTAATGCTTGCCTTAAATCAGTCAAGGGTCTAACTTAAATAAGTTATTAGAGAAAAATAACATACATGTGTTATGTGTTATTACAGATACTTTCATGAGTTGTCTGCTCTTTATTTCTTAATCTGTAGTAACATATGTTTGTTATTAGTTAATAAATCAAAATATATTTTTATTTTTAGTGGGCTCTTGGGATTTCTTGAAACTTTGCTCAGAAACTTAATGCATAACCTTGATAATTAATTTTCCAATTCAATTAATACATTTTTGATCAACCGTGGTAAAACAATGAGACAAGGCTTTTAAGGGATACACCTAAGCTGTAATAACAAGGCTTAGTTATTACAGGCATGTAAATTATAAAATGAGACACTTGGGAATTACTGGGAAGCTTGCTCAGAACCTCAATACATGCTCTGATCATTATTTCTTACACTGAATTAAAATACCTTATGATATATGTCTGAGAAATGGCTTTGAAGAGATGTAGAAAAGCTGTTATAACACCCTTTAGTTATTACAGGCATATATTTTCTGTAATAACACAGGTGTACTATTCATGATTGGCAAATTATAAACTGTTATATCTTTCTAAAGTTTAGTATACATAAAGACAATAATAATACCAGTAGAACTTGTATACAATTTAACAAAGTAAAGGATGTATATTGCCTCTTTGAAACATGTAACATACATATGTTATCCCAGTTTTTTTATATTTTAGCCCACAATAACGACATGTATGTTATTTTTCTCTAATAACTTATTTAAGTTAGACCCTTGACTGTAAATTTTGAACTTAATTTTGACTACGGTAGTATTTGAAGGAAAGACTGGTAATTTGAGATTGAAACCTTGTCCATTTTAAGAAAAGTCCCAACATTATCAAGCCTAGTCAAATTTAAAATAAAATTGTTTGATAATCAAGAAAGAAATTTACTATGGCTTTATTTATGAAATTATGCTTTATAGAACTGGGGAAGAAGCAAGTAAAGAAGCAGAGGCAAAGAGAATAAGAAAAGAAGAAAAAGCACAAAAGAAAAAAGATTCAAAGAAGGATGAAGGAGAATGGACAGATGTTGTTAAAGGAGCTCCTCATGTTATTGTAAGTTTAATGGATTCTGTACCAAAATTATGTTATGTCAGTTTTGCTTTACATACATTTTTTTCTTTCCTATTTTTAGTGACCACAAGAGCCTGTGTGTTCTATTGCCATTACTTTGTGTCTGTCATTTGTCCATTGTTTAACGTTTAACAAACTCTTCTACTGAAACCTCTTATCCAGTTTAAACTTTAATTTATTACGATCATTCTTGTGATGTGTAGTATCAATATTATATCAATTGATGCAGCTGACTAAGGGCTATTCCAGAAAAAAATATATGGGAAGGAGGGGTTGGACAGCACTTTTAATTATTTTTGTATGGTTGGGGCAGGTCACTAAGTTCAAATTGTGTGGTTATGAATGCAAGGTTAAATGCAAGTGTATGGGTGATAAAACCAATAATAAGTACCTTCCATCCCCCAGATTTTTTTTCTGGAATAGCGCTTACCAACAAGGCCTCTATAACTTTTAAATGTAAGTTAACAAAAAAAAATCTGTTTTTTCCTGGAAGGAACCAGTTGCTTTCAAACTGGAATGAAATTAGTTTTATCCTTGAAGAGACATGGTTGTTGCCAAACACCATTAAATATTTCTTGTTACCATTACTAAAAAAAGAATTATAGGATCAGTATTAGAATGGATTCTGAGGGGTTTTAGCTGAAAAGGGCTATTCTTACACATTCACATGCTGGCCAAGAGGCCAAATAAATGATACAGGCTTTTTATTGCCAGTGACAGACAGTCAGGGGTGCTACTTAAACAAGTGATTTCATCATCACTTATTTCAGTGATTTGATAAATTCAGTTATCACCTATTTAAGTGATTTTAGTGTTTTCTTTGATCTTCAAATGCCAATTTCATTGATTTTCCATATTTTCACAATCTTTTCTATAATTTTCCTACATAAATCAATTATCCCTTTTTCTTTGTATATTAATTTCACCAGTGCGCTTGGGCAGTAAGTTAGTGCGCTAAAGCTTTTAAAAGTACCCTTGGGAATTTTTCTGTAATCAAAAATTCATTAACTACTCTTACTATCAGACAAAGATCAACAATATTAGGTAACCTGATTGGTTTTCTTTAGAGTGAGAATGATCTACTTCAAGGTTATGACCTGATCTACAAACTATTCCAGTTTTTGCATATTTTAGAAAAACTGTAAAAGTGTCAGGCTTATCAAGCAAAAGACAATTTCTGCATATACATAGTTGTTTTTTCAATGGAATTGTTGTCTTTTTACCAATAAAAAAATCAAGCTTGTGGGAAAAATATCAAGAAAATGTTATAAACACTTATTAAAGTGATTACATTTTAACTTCTAAAATTACTTGTTTCAGTGATTTTAAAAAGTCTGTGTGAAAACTTTTAATATTTCACAGCCAAAATCACTCGAGGGAGTGATTCTGAAATCACTTGTTTAAGTAGTACCCCTGACTGACAGAAACTAAAACCTTGTGTGAAAATCATTTGAAAATTAGGATGAGATTCTGTATATAATTTTAATGTCTATCTGGTTTAAAAAAAATATACTTCGGATAACTATACACCTTTTCACTATTTATTCCTATCCTGATAAGTTTTAAAATTACACAACTTTTCAAACCAGTTGAAGCTATCTGGGGCCTTGTTTAAACAATGTATTGTGTATAAAATTTTTCATAGAGGCAAGTTTAAACCATCGAAACACTTCAAACAAAGCCTTTTCAATGACTTTAATTTGTCTTTTGAAAATTGCTTCTTAAATTATCAAAATTTTATAATGTCCACTTTCCTAACTTTTTCCTCACTCAGCTCATTGCTGATGACCTTTGTTTTGCACTGTTTTTCTGGATTGGACTAAATAGTGATAAGGTGTACAGATAATACTGAGAAATTCATTATGGACATTATCACCTGCATGCTACAAATCCTTAGGTCATGTAGGTAGGCTAACTGGAAAACATGAAGGAAAATATAGATCGTGGACAAAGATATTCCAAAATTCGTGCATGCATTTATTATTGCCATTGTTGAACATTCCAGACAAGAATGTAAAAATTAATTATTGTGATTTCAGAAAATGCTGCACACAAAAAATGCTATTCAATTATAAATGCAAGGTTTTATTTTTGCGAAACCTATCCCATCACAATTTTCGCAATAATAAAAACAATGAAAAAAATTCTGAATTAACTGTATAATATATGAAATTTTATGTTTTAAACAGGAGAAAACTGTTATGTTTGCCAAGGATACTGAAGTTAACCATGAGGCTGTTATGAAGAAATTAACAGAGATTATTTCAGCCAGAGGAAAAAAATCCACCGATAGAAATGAACAGATTGAATTGTTACATGAACTAGCCACTATAGCAAACACAAATAATTTAGGTCCAGCTGTACAAGTGAAAATCATGTTTAACATTGTAGCTGCTATATACGATTACAACCCCAACATAGCTACATGTATGAGATCTGAAATGTGGGAGAAGTAAGTCAGCTATTCATATTTATTACACATGTAAATGGTTTGTTTTAAATGCATGGGAGATGGGAGGCCCTTATTTTAGACCCTAAACACCCATACTATAATATATAATTTTAATTATAATTCTTAAAAAATTATAAAGAAAATGCAGTTTTATTAATCTGAGTTCCTACCATCCCCCCTTGCATTTAAATATGAAACAGCCCTAACATATTAATTATTTTCAAACCCGGCTTTGTCATGATTTAGCCAGTGCAAGCTAAAATGGTGCATCAATCAATCAAACACTGTGTATTTTATTTCAGAATGCTTAAAAACATGGTTTCATTAAGTCTTAGGATATGCTAGAACATGTTTTACAACAATTAATCTTACTTTTGAAAATAATAAGAATCTATTAAAAAACCACCTAAAATTTTGCAGCTGGAATTTTGTAGCAGCCTGGTTCATTGACAGATAGCATGATTCATTAAAGAATTCATCTAATTTGAATCTGTTTCTGTTACAGCTCCCTGAACCGTTAATAAACATATTTTTTCTAGTTTTAAGATATAATTTTGATGCAGACCTGAAAAAAACAAGTTTAGAATTAACAAATAAATATGTGAAGATGATTAACTGTAGATTCCTTATTATTTGTGTTATACCAGTTTTCCTTGATTTTGTGAGATCAGGTGAACCACAAATTTAAATGTTCAAATTTTCTATAGACTATAATAAAGACTTTTGTCAAATCACAAAATCAAATATCCACGAAAATACAATTTTTCCTTAATCCACGAAAATTTGAACCCACGAAAGAATTCACAGTATCATGCATATGCCCAGCCTACGGTAGAAGAGATGCATTATATTTAAGGTTTTGACCCAATCAAATAGCGACAAAGGTCCATGTTGTCTAGGTGTAATACCACCGTTGTTTTTCCCATATTAGTCTTTGTTAAATTTGCACTTTTCAAAAATTTTGCAGAATTTATCTTTGTTTCAAATAAAGAAATACTTGGCATGAGTAAAGTTTTATCCTGTCCAGTACTACAGTCAAAATTTCACATAACATTTCATTGCATGTAAGATAATAACCATTACTGGAAGATATCCAATCAAATTTTCACCCCTTTTTTCCTGTGTACAAGCTTTAGTAACCATGTAACCTCAAGTTTCCAAAATATTCTATAGAAACACCAAATAAAAAAAGAATGGTGCTTTGAAACACCCAAGATATATGTCTATGACTCAGAAACTTTTTACTACACTGAAATGTAGGATTAATTTCCTACAACTGTCAAGTTCAAGGGAATATTTTTTTTTACCCGTTTTCGTATGCAACCGGATGTGACATACTATGATTTGGTGGTATTACACCTCTAATGAATACATATTGTTGTTTTTATTTCAGATGTATAAAGAATGTTGGAGATTTATTAGATCTCATAGCTAATAATGCTGACATTACTGTTGGAGAAAATATACTAGAAGACAGTGAAAATGTAGAGGTAAATATGACCTCATATGAAGTTTCCTGGTTCTTACCAACCTCAATGGACCAATTAAGTTAAGGTTTTGCATAATGGGAAAGTCACTGTTTTGAAAGATCTGAATTTGTCCATAACTAAAACCAATAGAAGTGCATGTTAAATGTTAAACTGTCTTGAAGTAACACATTTGACTTTATGCTTTCAATGATGATGTTTAATAGTTGTTTTAAGAAGTAAGCGATCATTAAAAAGGAACAACTTTATATTACCTGGACTTCATTGTAGATTTAACATCAATTTATTAAAAATGTTGTACATGTATGTGCATGTTTATACTATTTTTAAATTGGTTGAATTATCACAAAATATATGCCTCTAGAAGATAAGTAGCCAGAAACTGAAATTGATTAAGTTAAAACTAAATCCTGCTAGTGTTGATGTGATTGATGGACATTTAAATTAAAAACAGCAGTATGCCTAACTATGGATACACAGACAAATTTCAGATTAAGTCACCAACAATCACAAGGATTGATTTGAAGAGAAAAAGACAAGACAGACAGACAGACAGACAGACAAAACCTATGATAACCCACAGAACATAATGATAATTGTATTGGAACTCAGGTAAGAACTTTGTGTTCCAAAAGGATGATTTACATAATTATTTTGTTAGTCGATACATTAAGTATTGTATTGATATATATTTTCCCAGACTTCCCCGTACAGAGTAAGAGGATGTATTTTAACTGTCGTAGAAAGGATGGATGAAGAATTCACTAAGATGTTACAGGCCTGTGATGCTCACAGTACAGAATACGTTGACAGGTAACTTAATTATGCATGCTAATTATTATTTATTTTAAAGTTTTATATGCCCTCTGCTGCTAGGCGACAGGGGCATAGAGTTTTACCCTTGGTCCATCCTTACGTCCCAAAATTGGTTTCCTTTCTATAACTTAAGTTTGCCTCAACAAAATGTTATGAAACTTGTACACAATGCTTATTACCACTAAACACAAATTATGAATGCATTTGGGTAGGGTGGGGTCACTTTCATCTTTTTTGAGTTATGTCCCTTTATAAATGGAAAAAAGGCTGAATTTGCAATTTCCGCACTCTTACTTTACTTTGCCACAACCAAATGTAATGAAACTTATGTACAATGCTTATTACAACTAAAAACAGATCAAGTTTGAATTTGGGTGGTGTGACGCCACATTCTGGAGTTAAGTCCCTTTATAAATGGAAAAATTGCTGAATTTGCTGTATATTTACAAGCAGGGGCATCCATCTGTGTCCCATGGACACATTCTTCATTTATTTTAAAATCTTTCCATGCTAGTGTTTAAAAACTAGGGTGCTTTCCATAGTGAAGGTTCATATGGCTGGTACACATAGACTGAGCTCATCAATTACAGAAGACAGGGAACCAGTTTAGTGTTTCATACTATTTGAGTGAATGTACTTGTGTATAAAGAAGATTTAGTCTGGTATCAAATCAAACAATGTTACCCTGAATATGGTTGAAAAGTTACTGCTGTCAATGCTGTACATTTTCATCTATCCTGTCATGCTGGTTATGATTGGGTTATCACCATATAAAACCCTCAATGAAAACACTCTTCTAAATATTTCATCTTTATCAAGAAAATTTGGCATAGTGTGTACAGATATGAATTCATAAATTGTTTAAAAAAAACATTACCCAGGCAAAGAAATTGGGTATTTATATATATAATTATCTATTAAGACTCATTTTTTATACGACCACAAAAATTAAAAATTTTTTGGTCGTATATTGGTATGACGTTGGCGTCGTTGTCGTCGTCGTCGTCGTCGTTGTCGTCGGCGTCGTCCGAAGACACATTGGTTTTCGCACTCTAACTTTAGTTTAAGTGAATGGATCTCCATGAAATTTCACCATAAGGTTCAATACCACAAAAGGAAGGTTGGGATTGATTTTGGGGGTTATGGTACCAACAGTTAAGGAATTAGGGGCCAAAAAGGGGCCAAAAATAAGCATTTTTGTAACTTTCAGACAATAACTTGTGTGTAAGTGTATGGATCTCTCTGACATTGTACCACAAGGTTCCATATCACAAAGGGAAGGCTGTAATTGATTTTGGGGGTAATTGTCTCAAAATTTTAGGAATTAGGGGCCAAAAAAGGGGCAAAAAACAAGCATTTTTCTAGTTTCATGACAATAACTTGTGTGTAAGTGTTTGGATATTTCTGAAATTGTACTACAAGGTTCCATATCACAAAGGGAAAGCTGGAATTGAGTTTGGGGGTAATTGCCCGAAACGTTTAGGAATTGGGGGCCAAAAAGGGGCCAAAAATAAGCATTTTTCTAGTTTCAAGACAATAACTTGTGTTCAAGTGTATGGATCTCTCTGAAATTGTACTGCAAGGTACCATACCACAAAGGGAAGGCTGGGATTGAGTTTGGGGGTGATGAATCATAAGGGGGTTCAAAAAATTGGGGGGGGGGGATTTTTTTTTTCTTTCTTTTTTTCCTTTTTTTTTTCTTTTAAAATTTTCCATTTTAAGTTGGTTATTTCTGATTTATATTTAAAAGCAAATAATAATGATATGGTAGGAGATACACACCAAACAGGATGTGTAAATTATTATATAATAAGTATTGTGCAATAGCAAGAAATTTTCAATTGCACAGTATTGCACAATAGCAAGAAATCTTCAATTGCACAGTATTGCGCAATAGCAAGAAATCTTCAATTTAACAGTATTGCGCAATAGCAAGAAATATCCAATAGCACAATATTGCGCAATAGCAAGAAATTGTCAATTGTACAGTATTGCACAATAGCAAGAAATATTCAATTGCACAGTATTGTGCAAAAGAAGATACTTCGTATAAATTGCTTATTTCTTGATCAATTTCAATGGGGTTTTATTCTTGAATTCTTGGGGTTCTTTAATATGCTGAATCTAACCGTGTATTAAGTTTTTGGATTTTGGGCCCCGTTTTTAAATTGGTCCACATTGAGGTCCAAAGGGTCCAAAATTAAACTTTGTTTGATTTCATCAAAAATTGAATTATTGGGGTTCTTTGATATGCCGAATCTAACCGAGTATTTAGTTTTTTAATTTTGGGTCCCGTTTTTTAAATTTGTCTACATTAAGGTCCAAAGGGTCCAAAATTAAACTTAGTTTGATTTTAACAAAAATTGAATTCTTAGGGTTCTTTGATATGCTGAATCTAAACATGTGTTTAGATTTTTGATTATGGGCCCAGTTTTCAAGTTGGTCCAAGTTGGGGTCCAAAATTAAACTTTGTTTGATTTCAACAAAAATTGAATATATGGGGTTCTTTGATATGCTGAATCTAAACATGTATTTAGATTTTAGATTTTTGGCCCAGTTTTCAAGTTGGTCCAAATTGGGGTCCAAAATTAAACTTTGTTTTATTTCAACAAAAATTGAATATATGGGGTTCTTTGATATGCTGAATCTTACCATGTATTTAGATTTTTTATTTGTGGGCCCGCTATCAAATTGGTTCATATTGAGGTCAAAAGGGTCCAAAATTAAACTTTGTTTGATTTCATCAAAAATTGAATTATTGGGGTTCTTTGATATGCCAAATCTAACCGTGTATTTAGATTTTTAATTTTGGGTCCTGTTTTTTAAATTGGTCTACATTAAGGTCCAAAGGGTCCAAAATTAAACTTAGTTTGATTTTAACAAAAATTGATTTTTTGGGGTTCTTTGATATGCTGAATCTAAACATGTGTTTAGATTTTTGATTATGGGACCAGTTTTCAAGTTTGTCCAAGTTGGGGTCCAAAATTAAACTTTGTTTGATTTCAACAAAAATTGAATATATGGGGTTCTTTGATATGCTGAATCTAAACATGTATTTAGATTTTAGATTTTTGGCCGTGTTTTCAAGATGGTCCAAATTGGGGTCCAAAATTAAACTTTGTTTGATTTCTACAAAAATTGAATATATGGGGTTCTTTGATATGCTGAATCTTACCATGTATTTAGATTTTTTATTTGTGGGCCCGCTATCAAATTGGTTCATATTGAGGTCAAAAGGGTCCAAAATTAAACTTTGTTTGATTTCATCAAAAATTGAATTATTGGGGTTCTTTGATATGCCAAATCTAACTGTGTTTTTAGATTTTTAATTTAGGGTCCCGTTTTTTAAATTTGTCTACATTAAGGTCCAAAGGGTCCAAAATTAAACTTAGTTTGATTTTAACAAAAATTGAATTCTTCGGGTACTTTGATATGCTGAATCTAAACATGTGTTTAGATTTTTGATTATGGGACCAGTTTTCAAGTTTGTCCAAGTTGGGGTCCAAAATTAAACTTTGTTTGATTTCAACAAAAATTGAATATATGGGGTTCTTTGATATGCTGAATCTAACCATGTATTTTGATTTTGGACATTGGACCATAATAGGTAAATTAAAAAAAATTGAAGTTCTTAGACCACATTCTTTCTGTGTCAGAAACCTATGCTGTGTCAAATATTTAATCACAATCCAAATTCAGAGCTGTATCAAGCTTGAATGTTGTGTCCATACTTGCCCCAACTGTTCAGGGTTCGACCTCTGCGGTCGTATCAAGCTGCGCCCAGCGAAGCATTTTATTTTCCATTGTCAATATGTTTGTCCTTAAACATGTTAAACAATGGATTTTCTTTGAAATGCTACAAAAGTTCAGAAACAATAGAAGAGATACATTATATCATGCCAATTCTGGTATTAACAAACTTATTTTAATGGGATTTTGACATTGTTTACCAAATTATACTATAATGTTTTTATAATGAATGTGAATGCAGTTTTCACATTATTAGTAAACAAATGGTGGTAAAAAAAGGCTTGTCAGCAAAAAAATGTCTTATTTATGACATTGTAGATGAGTTGTATTGTTAATGCAACTACAATGGTGAATCCTTTAATAGAATGTCTTTAAATTGTATGTTTCCAATGTTGAATGAGAACACACTTCTTGTTTTTCAAACAATTTGGGAAAATAATAAATCAGCAAGAAATTTACCAAAAAAAAAAAAAAAATATTTTTGATTATTAAAAAAAAGGAAATGCGTTATTTTTTTCTTATTTTGTTACGCAGGTTGAAGGATGAGACAGTTGTTTGTGAAATGATAGAAAAACTTCAGGCTTATTTAGAAGGCAAAGCAACAACCGAGGAAATGTGCCGTATTTATCTTAAAAGAATTGAGCATACATATTATAAGGTAAGAAAATTATCAAAATGACAAGATTCTTATTTATAGAGTGAACCTATCAGTATTTGGAAGGGATTTAATTATATTTGATCTATTTTCACAGCATATAGAGATGATTTGTTTTGTATTTATAATTGTTTTCCATACAAGAGTCCCTGTAGATATCTAAAACATGTGTAAAATTAAATATTATATCAGTGTTCTTCATTTAAAAGTTCTTGAATTATAACTATTAAAAATTGGAATTTTCTAAACATGCTAACATATACAAACTTTTCTGTATAACTGAGGACTTAGCTACTAGGTATATATTAGTATTCTTCAGATTTTTTAGGAGACCTCTAACACTTGTTTTACAGTAACTGTATATATTTTTACCTATGTCACTGACTCCATCCATCTGTACTTTGGCTTCTATGAAAGGGAATGATTTAATATTTGGTCTGCAGCCTGATAATACTAAGTTGTAGCGAGTAAGCAATTTTTACATCTGCCATGTAGCTACTTCCTGTTTGCAGATACATGTAGTTTAAAATTGTACAACACTCATTGTACAAGGATAATTTTCATCAAAATTTTCTTGGCTTGAATGAAAAGGAATGATTTTGATATTTGTTCTGGGAACGATCATTTATGCTCCTGTATACATGTTACCTCAATCAATTGCATGCAGCAACGCAGGTCTAGACCCAGTATTGTTCTTGTTACTTGAGAAGTAGGTCTGTCTTTTGGGTTGCATACCTGCCATCTTCTTAAAATCTACATTGGATTTTGAGCACAAGGGGACCAAAAACAATTCTTATACATGTTATCAGTGTTTTCATCTAATATAATGTGCTTTTCAATTAGTATGTTTGCTCTTGAGTGCTTTTTAACCCCTTTGAATGCTATCAAGAGTAAAGTAAACATCTCTTATTAGCAAAATTCCACATAAATCAGGACAATTGGCAGGTTTGGGGTTGTTTGTTAGGGTTGATCTTTTTTTTTGGGGTTTTCATTCTTAGTTTGAATGAAGCACTGCTATATTCTCAGGAGTTATAATTATATTGCTCAAGTATTTCACTTTCTGCACTCTTACTTATGAATTTATTTTTCAGTTTGACCACACAATTGTTGATGGAACTGCTACTGAGGTAAGTTCTTCACATATTTACACTTCTGACTCAACAAACAGTCCATTCCAAGGTTTAATTTTGGTTAGAAATGATACAATGGCTAATATAATAAATTGCCATATAATGGAATTGTTCAAATGATTTTACACTATGTAGCACAAAATAGTTTCTTATTATTTGCTAAAAAAAAATTAACCTGAAATCTTTCATCATTGTGATCTTTGTCTATGCCATCTCAATTGCAACATTAGAAACCAACAACAACAAAAATTAGATTGAAATTGTATATAGTTGGTCAAGTAGAAACTAATTACACATTGTTTTTAAAAAAAAATTGACCTGGAAGGGTCTAAATCTACATGTTTAAAAATATATGAACAATTGATCAGGGGTTTAAATTGAGAAAGATTAATACTAAATAGACATATGCTTTATTTTCATCATCTAATGTTAACTTTTCCAGGATCCAACAAGAGAAGTGATGCAACAATTATGTAAATATATCCATGCCAAGGATAACAGTGATAGACTGAGAACCAGAGCTATGTTGTGTCATATATACCATCATGCATTGCACAATAGATGGTACCAGGCCAGAGATCTTATGTTAATGTCACATCTTCAGGATACAATCCAGCACTCTGATATTCCTACACAGGTAAGATTTACAGCGTAGCTATTGAATGTTGGTGATTGTGATTGATTAATTCTCAAATACCTGACTGTTTATTCCATAGGGGTCATACATCAGTATTATCAGTTTATCACAAGCAGTTACCCTGTATCACTGTTTTCATTCATTGCCAGCAAACCTTATTTATAACAGAATTACCTTGTGTGTACTGTGGGTTTCTCACAACAGGTATGTCATGGGGAACATGATAGAATAAGAGTTGTTTTTAAGGCCTGGACAGAAATCTAAACCGGTATAAGAGCAAGTCAAACTAGCCAAGCTGAAGATACCAAAGATTCAATTCAGATCGTCAAAACTGATGTTATTCTGTTCACCTAATAATTAAGCTGACTAAAGTTGCATTGCTGCTTTTCCTTTACACTTTACAGTAATGGATTTAGCTTGTTAAGAAATAATGTCAACATGACTGATAAATGAGTACTAAAAATTTTAATGACAGATTTTACCTAAAAGAATGATTGATTCGTTATTTTTCGACCTGTGAAAACCATCATAATTTTTTATCACACTTGTTTTCAGATTCTATACATCAGAACTGATTCGTTATTTTTAGAACTGTGAAAACCATCATAATTTTTTATCACACTTGATTTCAGATTCTATACAACAGAACGATGGTACAGCTAGGTCTGTGTGCCTTCAGAGAAGGCATGATCAGGGATTCCCACAATGCTTTAGTTGATATACAGAGTGGTGGTCGTGCAAAGGAATTATTGGCACAGGTAAGAGAGGCAGAAGATACCTAAGTGATATATTTAAACTCATCAGTCGAAGACAAACTGGTGACCCAATGGCAAAAAACTAAAAACAATATGAAGACAGTCTACAAAACTCCATTTTAAAAACTAAAGACTGAGCACAAAAACCCATTGGTGATTCTAATTCAGACTGACAAAATTTATAAAAAAAATTAAATTCTATTTTATAGATTTTGAACTGTCATTAATTGATCGTTGATGTTGATCAATTTTTAAGAACCTTTAGATACTATTGTAGAATTTGAAGGTGTATTGATATCAAAGCTAGAAAATAACAAAAGCTGCAATTTATTTTCAGGGTCTGTTACTACAAAGACAGCATGAGAGAACACCTGAGCAGGAGAAGATTGAGAAACGCCGTCTGCTCCCTTATCATATGCATATAAACTTGGAATTATTAGAATGTGTTTATCTTGTGTCTGCTATGTTAATGGAAATCCCTTATATGGCTGGTAAGTAGAAAGTCTCTGAAAAAACCAATTTGCGTAAAGGAATTTTACCATTTGGAAGCTTAAATGTTGGAACAATGTCAGTTATTCAATCCTCGAAAATTGTCCAATAAAACTGAAAAATTAATAAATTTCTTATTATTATAACTTCATAATTCTAAATAATGAAATATCACTTTGATATATAATTTGCCATTTGTAAAATAAAGACTATAAAGAAAACCTGAATGTTTTAAAATGTGTAAATGTGAAATCACTTTCTTCTGTTCAAAGCAGCTATTTTGAATATTTTAACCCTCTGTTATAGCATGGTTGATGTTACTAAGACCCTAAAGCTAACTGTTCTTATTTCCTTGAAAGACAGTAATCGAAAACTTCAAAATAAATTCACTTGAAAGAAGATAATCGGATGTAATGTTCCTGAATTTTAATTGTTAAACAAACTGAAACGTTATATGCTATTCATGCTATTGTAATGGTTAAAAAACAGTCTTTATGGATAAAGAACACCCAAGTTTTAAACAAAAAAGTTAGTTTTATGATTTTGTTTACACAACAGCTCATGAATTTGATGCCAGGCGAAGGATGATCAGTAAGAACTTCCATCACGTTCTGAGACTGAGTGAGCGTCAGACTTTACCTGGACCTCCTGAAAGTATGAGAGAGCATGTTGTAGCAGCATCTAAAGCAATGAAAAAAGGAAACTGGAAGGAATGCCAAAACTTTATCATTAATGATAAGATGAATGCTAAGGTACGAAACATGAAAAAAAAAATATTAGAAATTTGAGAAACAAACATAAATTTTAAGAATTAAGAATCCTTGTTACAACAGAAGTATAATGAACAATTTCATCTGATTCAACTGTCAAATATATTGTCCTGATATTGAAACCAGCTGGGTTATTTTTTCACAAAACATCCATTTATTGGTTTTTACCTGAAATAAAATTTGGTAAAAAATGAATAACTGCAAAATATCTGATTTACAATTTATTATGTTTTAATATAGATATTCATCTAAAAATTTCTGATAAATTTAAAGGCAAAATTGCTAGATAGACAAACTGTGAAATACTGTCAATAAATTAGATACAGTGGACAAGTTAGGATTTTGGCAATTTGAAGTATTTTCTGTACTTAACCAAGTAAATATTTCAAACACTCACTTCATTTTAAAGTCTTAAGAGATTGGAATTTCAGTATTTCCTATATTGGTTGTTGATAAAAAAACAATGTACTTCAGAAATGACAGCCAAAATTGATTAAATGTCAATTGAAAAGTATCCAGAAATGGTATGAACTTTCTGTTATGTTGTATGATACTGTTTTGGTATTATGTAAAGAAAATTTCTATTAGTTACTATCAAGGTAAACCCATTTGGTACTTACTCAACATGTCACACTAAAAAAAAAAAATCTGACCAAAGGGAAATAACTTAAATAGTACTTTTAGTGTACAAATTAAAGGATGATTAAGTAGAAATGAGAGAAACTATGTTTTTTGCTTATTCTTCATAAATAAGTAGTGTTTTCGAACAGATGGTTCCCAAAATAAATAAGAATGTGGGTGGAAAATTTGAAATGTCTTTGAATCATCTGCTTGAGGGCACCTGTCAAATTTTAGGATCTGAGCAGTGACCATTTAGTAAACTACAGAATGATTGTATGCATATATCTTTCCTGGAGGGAATTTAATGCTAGAAGAAGGAAAATCTATATAATCTCCTATTTTTTAGGTTTGGGATCTGTTTTATCAGAAAGATAGAGTACGAGATATGGTGACCAGAAAAATCCAGGAGGAGAGTTTACGTACCTATTTATTTACCTATAGTAGTGTGTATGATTCTCTTAGTCTTGTCTCACTGTCAGAGATGTTTGAACTAGAGATCAGTGTCGTCCATTCTATCATCAGTAAGATGATAATCAATGAAGAATTAATGGTAAGTGTATTGACAAGAGTATTTTGTTTTCGAAAGAAAGTTGAGTGTTTTTACATAAGATGGCAAACCCATGTAGTATATTTTTAAAGAAAAGTTTTTCATTGCTGTTCTTTATCCTCGTGTTTGCTGGTAGGACATCAGAATTTAAATTAAGAGCTTAAACTTTACAGCAAGATTAATGGAGGCCCTGATTTGAACTTTACATGTAGTCTTTGATAACTTATTATTACGGTAATAAAAGCTATATATGTCTTTGAAGTAGCATATGCAAGTGTTGTCAGCAAATTGAAAATATAAGATTTATCAATAATAAAAAGTAAGAAGATTCCAAGGGGAGCAACGAAAAAAAGTTAGTAAAAGAAAGACCAGGCAGACAACACTGGCAATGATCAAATTTAAAAAAAGACCACAAACTACTAGATAGATACACTAAAAAAACCTAAAATTAAGCTATAATATTCTTTAACTGAAAATGATTCTCTTTTTAATAGTGAAAGTTTAAAAAAAGTTCACACAGGATATATCTTAAGAATGGTAAAGACAAAAGTTTATAGTAAATGTATACATGTAGGGAAATAATCATGTGCCTTAAAAAAAAAACATGTCTCAAACTTTTATTTACATTATTTCCTCTTCTTTATTTGGTACATTGTAGGTTGGAGTATTAAAAAAATCACTTTGTATTGTATTCTTATTACTTAGAAATGGCTTTTTCACTGCAGTGATACATGAGAAAGGTTTTTTAGCTCAAGAGTTTTAGTAAAATTTATATCTAATGTAATTTTTGATTCAACATTTGATTACAAAAATCTTGTTATCTTAAACAGGCATCACTAGATGAACCTACACGTACAGTTGTGATGCATCGTACAGAACCAACCCGTTTACAGTCCCTGGCGTTACAGTTGTCAGAAAAGGTCTCGTCTCTTGTAGACAATAACGAAAAGATCATGGAATTCAAACAAGGCAATTTTGGCTTCCAAAAGACAAGTAAGTTAATAAACAAAAAATGTTTTTTTTTTCCTAATGCACTTTACTTCACATTTATCATAATCTTTTGAATGAACTAAAAGAATGCTTATATTTATAAAAAAAAATATTTGAAGGCCATAATTTTCATTTTATATGCCTGTTCAAAAGCATGGGATATCTTGGAAAGGCAGTTTTAACATAGATTAGTTACCATTTAGTAGAATAATTTTAGTTTCAGAAGAATTTAGTATATTCCTAGATTAAGGTATTGCCTGCAAGTAGCTGCTGCACCATATAAAGGTTTTATCCATCATCTTGGGCCATTATTTTCATGTTTGATCACCCTTGCTTGCAATGCAATTTGTCTTCAACTGATATTAAACCAGTGAATTGATTTCAGCAAAATTATGATTATGGTTTCCCATTTATTGCAAAACATGGACTTTACCTTGTTATTATGTAGATATAAGAAGATGTGGTATGAGTGCCAATGAGACAACTCTTCCATCCATGACTCATTTTACGAGGTCAGAACTTCACTAGTCTTAATTTTAAACAAGACGTTAAAATAGACTATTGGCATATTTTATTCTTAGATAAACCAATTCTTTCTTTTTATGCCCCACCTATGATAGTAGTAGGGGCATTGTGTTTTCTGTAATTGCATCCGTTCGTTCTATGGACCATTCGTCCATCCGTTTGTTTGTCCGTCTGTCCCGCTTCAGGTTAAAGTTTTTGATCAAGGTAGTTATTGATGAAGTTGAAGTCCAATGAACTTGAAACATAGTACACATGTTCCCTATGATATGATCTTTCTAATTTTAAAGCCAAATTAGAATTTGACCCCAATTTCACGGTCCACTGAACATAGAAAATGATAGTGTGAGTGGGGCATCCATGTACTATGGACACATTCTTGTTTAAGACTGACTTGCTGGACCTTGGATGTATTCAATTTCATTTAAATACTGAAATAAGACAATTTTACAGAATGTTGTATTTTGCATTTTCAGCTGATTCCCTGTACTCAGGAATTTAATTTTTAATAACATTATTTTGTTAACAGATTAATATGAAACTTGGGGGGGAAATTATCTTTATTTTTGCATGTCTAATCAGCTTATTACTTTATTTTAGATTACTAATTATTATTTATTAGACTAAACTTCATTACAATGTTCATGTTAACTTTAAGTGCCAATCTGCCTAAGAATCAAGCAGTGGTGAAAACATGACAAACAAAAACCCACTAAAGTTGACATTAATTTATGTTCAAAATGTATAATGGTGCACGAATATAACATTCGTTTCCTTGTCCTGGTCTGGTAATTCAAGATATAATTTGGTTGAAATGCACTAGAAATTAAGAATTAAGGGGAGCTAACTCTGTAATTTGCTATCATTCTAACCAAAATTTATCTAGAGATTTCTCGAATTACCAGACATGCAGAAAAGAAAGACCTACCATTTCTAACTCAGGATGAGGGTAACTTCAAAATAGGATGGTTAGGTCGGTGGGTTTTTTTCTGCCATGTTTTGATTTTTTTCAAAATTGCCTGATTCTTACAAAGACTGGCACTTTAAAAATTCCAAAAAATAATGCATCAACTTCTAAAAACAATGAAAAATATACATAGTTGTAATTTGATTACAAAAAAAAATAAGAAAACAACATTACTTGTTTGATACAAAACATGGGGAAATTGGTTAAGTTAAAAAAAAAAATGACTCGATTGCAAAAATGATAATTACAAAGTTTTGGTGTTTGTGGCCAGGACAGTACAATTTTTTCTTTAGGTCTGCAGTGTTTATTTGTTAGCTTGATATCTAAAAATTGAATGACTAAAGAGATTCACTCTAAATTAACAATGATTTATAGGGAAAACTATACTAAAACAAAAACAAATTGTTAAATAAGTCAAGATAAGAAAGAAATTTGCTATTATTCCATGAAGACATTAAATTGTCCAGAGAAAGACATTTCAAATTACTCAGCATTCAAGATTGTTTTTGTTAACATCAACATGGAAATGAAGTACAATGTTTATTTAACTTACCTGGCCCATAAAGCCAGTGTAAGCTGTGGCCACCACTGGGCATCTTTCCACCGTCTATAAATAAAAAAATCACAAAAATATCAATGAAAAACTTGAAAATACAGTGCAGATTCAACAGTATTCAAATTTTCAAAAAAAATTCAAACTAGCAAGGTTATTCAAACTTAGTATCCCAGATGGCACTATTATTTTACTAGGATGAGTGAAACAGGTTCTGTAGATATTCTTGGTATAATACATTTTTATCTTAATTTATCCCATATACATCAGTTTTTAAATCTTTCTTTTAACCAACACTTTACCCACAATGCTTTACTTGACCTAGGTTATGGTGTACCTATACTAACACAAACAAGGTGAGTTGGTTTTGTCATTAACAGGTGAAGGACAAGGGTGGTAATTGGCATGTTATATGTATATTTTTCAGATAATAAAAATACTGTATATGGTCCTGAGTGAAAATTTTCAGGTGGAATGGGGAAAAAAGTAATAGCAAACTGACAACCAATTTGTTGAAAACAATTGTTTATTGATACAGGAATTATAATATTTATAAATAAAAATAAAAAATTGAAGGAAATGATACATCAGATATACACTCCAAGAAGTATAAAATACAATGTACATGTATAAATATTTGGTACTAAGGGAAGGTAATTTCAAAATGGGATAACCACCTATAGAGGCAAATTTAGAATTTCATTTACATTTTAACTGTACAAAAACAGTTTACACCCACCCATAGTAGAGATTTGTAAGTGCCTTCCCTGAATACAATGTATGTTATCATGGTTATATGGAATAGCTCTTGTGTAATAAATGTGAGCCAATTTCCAGATAACTGAGTTATTACTCTACTGTAATCATGTTCTGTTGCAAGAGACATTCATTATATGATTTAAATGTATGGTACCTATTACCGTGTACATAACATGTTTCAGTGATAACCTTTCTTTGTAAAAAGTAAGGGATGCCAAAAAAATAAAGCATTGAATAGCATCATAACAAAAAAGAAGGCAAAAAGTTATACCAAGTTTCCTTGTTTTTATTTAAACAGAACAACTATATCTATTTCCAGCTCTGCATGAGAGAGTTGCAACCTATTAAAGTTTATGAACAATAACATAATATAATATTAAGAACAAATTGCATCTTCTGCTGTTTTTTAAAAAGATTTTGCCATTATATAAATATTCCCAAAATTTTTATCAAATTTGTTTTTAGTACCAGCAAGTTGGTACACATATTTGTTTTATGTTTCTGATCTAGGAATGCATTGGTTACAGGCTGAACATAAACAGATGTTCTTTATAGATGATAGGAAAAGTTTGTAAACAACTGGGTCAGGCAGGTAGTGCAAATCAAATCTTAAGATTTTTTTTATTTAGACCCAAACTTAAGTTTTAATGTAAATCAATTGTTTACTGGTTGTTTATTTATTTTTTAGCCCAGAATTACGGGGGATATCAACAGAACAAAGACACTTGGCAAGGCAACAAGTATCAACAAAATAAAGATAATTGGACTGGTGGTAGTAAGTATCAGAATAAAGACACTTGGCAAGGTAAAATATTATATTTACTTAAGTTTTCAAAAGGGAGGAGACATATGTTAATCAAACATATAAAGTATTCTCCCTTACACAGTTTGTAGCAGTAGGATACTTATATAGCATAGAAAAATAAGATGTGGTATGATTGCCAATGAAACAACTCTTCACCAGAGACCAAATGAAGTAGAAAATTAGCAACAATAGGTCACCCTGTACGACCTTTAGAAAAGAGCAAAACCCATACCGCATATTAAAACTGGGCATATGATACAATACAATATATATAGATATGTAAAAATGATGATGTTTGGCATGTTTGATGATGCCAATGGTTGTACACAGCTGTATGCAAATTATTTATGGTGTTTTACACAATTAGAAACCATCTGATTCCTTATTAAATTCATAAACATTTTTAAATATGAATACATTTAAATCCTAAGTAAGTTACATATGTCTGGAGGTTAAGATGTTCAAATTACAGTCAAGGATACAACTCTATAGGGTTATTAGAGAAAAATAACATACATTTGTTATTGTGGACTAAAAAATCCCAAAACTGTGATAACATATGTATGTTACATGTTTCAAATGGGGCAATATACATCATGTACATCCTTTGTTTTGTTAAAATGTATACAAGTCCTATTGATATTATTATTGTCTTTATGTATACTAAACTATAGAAAGATATAACAGTTCATAACTTGCCAATCATGCATAGTACACCTATGTTATTACAGAAAAAATATGCCTGTAATAACTAAAGGGTGTTATTACAGCTTCTCTACATCATGGCAATGCCTTTGCTCTGACATACATCATGCTTAATACAATGTATTTTAATTTATTGTAAGAAATAATGATCAGAGCATGTAATGAGGTTCTGCGCAAGCTTCCAAGTAATTCCCAAGTGTCTCATATAATAAGTTACATGAAGCCTTGTTATTACAGTTAAGATTATCCCTTAAAAGCCTTGTCGCATTGATTTACCATGGTTGATGAAAAATGTATTTATTCAATTGAAAAATTAGTTATCAAGGCTATGTATTAAGTTTCTGCGCAAAGTTTCAAGAATTCCCAAGTGCCCACTAAAAATTAAAATAATTATGATTTATTTAACAAATAACAAACATATGTTACTGCAGATTAAGCAAATTTAAGGAACAAGGAGTAGACAACTCAAGAAAGTATCTGTAATAACACATGTATGATATTATCTCTAATAACCCTATAGAGTTATATCCTTGACTGAATTAGTGGAAAGATCTCTGGTTACTAGTTCAGATTATCAGATAGTATACTTATTAGGACATAATTAGGACATTGGAAATAGAAGTGGTATGAATCTTCTCAGTTAGCACCACAATGACAGGACTGAAATAATATTGACTATGAGGAATTTAATTAGGTTCCCACCAGCTTGTGCGTCTGCCCATCTGTTACAATTTGTTTACGCTTTCTAACTTTCAAACCTCTTGAAGTTGGGTAATGAAACGAGCTAAGCATGATTATTTACCGCTACTAGAAGGTGTAGAATGCAAAAGGGAAACCTGTATAGTCAAAGTCATGGTTAAAAACTGTGCATATTCACAGCAACTGTTTTCCCTCTCTTAACTCCTCAACTCCTTGGAGTTATGTAATGAAACTTGGCATGAATATTCACAACTTCTAGAAGTGTGTTACGTACAAGGAAGACAATGGTATATCAAAAGTCATGGTCAAAAACTTATGTCTAACTTAGCCATCCCTGTGTATATGCACAAAAATTGCTTCAGCCAGCTCTCTAACTTTAATACCCATTGGGGTTTGGTGATGAATTAGTGGTGCATCAACAAATATATGCCTTTGGTATATGCTATGTTTGAATTGAATAACACTGATTGCTTCTTCTAATTGCATAACAGTTTACTTGTTTACTTAGCAGGGCCCCTTTAATTGCGCTTGGTCAATGAGAGTCTACAAAAAGGATATATTACATCATTTCTATTATGTTTGGGTAAACAGCTGTTCTTTGAATTGTTAGTGGAATTAAATTGCAATAAGGTACATTTATTAAGTTGAATGATTGTAACTTCATCTTTTTCTCGACAGCCTTGGAAGTCTGTTGAGAGTTGACTGGTTCATGAGGTTGTTTGATACACTTTTTATGAAACCTTCAACATGTGTGTCCCATTTAGCATCTCTGCCAAATGTTTATAAAAAACTGTAACCTGTATATTTCTACCATTGAATGTAAAATTCATTTTGGGAGTTTTAATGTTTGAAAGGAATTTCATCCTGTGAATTTTTTTCAGGTAATAAGTATCAACAGAATAAAGACAATTGGACAGGCAGTAAGTTTTAGTGTTAAGATAAAACATAATGACCTAGCAACACCCTAGAAAATTTAGATTAACAAATGAGAGTCAAGGATGATGGGATGGACTCTTATAAATTGATTGAATATGTAAAGTTCTGAATATTCTAATGCTTATTCAAGTTTTATATATTCAAAAGAAAAATAGAGTGAACAACTGATATTGAGGTCAATTTAGAATTAATACCAATTCCAGAGTAAAACTTCTGTGTTTCTTGATATAGTTTGAGGAGATGAAACATGTCTCCATTGGAAATCGTCTGTTTGACCTTTAAAGTTACGTTTGTCTAAATAGCATCATAGTTAAGATTAGCTTGTACATTTTCATTTTTGCAATCCTTTTATCTTTACCTTTGCCATGTTTTACAGCTGGTTTGTCATAATATATATATAACCCATAGCTGGGAGGGTCATAGAGCAGATTGTTACCCAGAGAAAACATTTTCAACTGAGGATCAGCCAATGATTTTTCTAGGAGTTGAAATCTGCTCTATCACCCTCTCAGCTATGTGTTATTTAATTTATTAAACTGAATATTCTGTTACTATTGTCTATATTGAAGTTCAAATTCAAAGTAATAAATTATGACGTCTGTAAATAACAACCATCTGTATTTAATAAAGTGCACAATTGACCAAGCATTTTGTTGAAGTGTTATAGAGTAAAATATCTCCCTCGTATTAACCAATCAAAATTAAGCATTTTAACATGAAGTATAATAAGATATAATGTGTTTCTGTTTATTTACTTTCAGATAGAAGAAACCAAAACCGACAACAAAGAGCATATTAATTACAAGTCATATAAACGTTTATACAAAATCTCAGTCACATTGTTTTGGAGGAATAATATTTTTCGAGTATGTGTGACATTACACATGCTGCTTACTATTGTATAAAATCGTGTACATTGTCTGTATATGGCCATTCCAGCTGTATTAAATCCATTGCATGTCAAGTTTTTAGATATTGACTCATGTTATAATGTGGAAATGTTTTGAAATTTAGTTATTAGATTTAAATCAATTGACAAAATACCCTAATTCCTGTGTTAAATTGTACAATACATTAGATGAACAGTTGGAAATCAGTTGTATTGTTTTCGTATTGGAACCCTCATGTTTTCCTGGTATCTATTATGAGTTTATTTGCACAATAATTATTTCATAATTGATCTTTTTGAATGCAACCCCCATGTAATTTTAGTAGGAAAAATATATTGTTATTGAAACAGCTGTTTTGAAATGAAAAAAAAAGTTAATTGTAAAAACTACATAAAAACTTAAAGCTAGAAGGCTAACCCAACCTGATGTAAAATTTGACATATTATGGATTTAAAATAGTTGGAATGGCCAGAAATATTTAATTGATTTTAGAATATTTTTGAAAGTGCTAACTCATTGTACAATAGTGCTTAAATTGTCTTAAAATAATCATGGTTTTAATATGCTTCAATGAAAGTTAAAAAAAACATAATTAAAGAACGTGACATATGGTCACTATTTGTTTTGTAAAATTGATGATATTCGTTTTATACATGTATTAAATTTTGAGAATTAAAAAAAGTATGCATTGTGAAAATTTAGACAAAAGTAATTGAATTTCTTGAAGGTAAAATAAAATTGTTTTGGTGATATTTTTTTATTTCAAGTTCCTTTTTTATGGCCTTGATTCCATCTTGTAATTATCCTTATACAATTATTGTTTGCAGTCGTAAGTATTTATGTTAAACCAAAGAGATGTGATATGTACCAATGAGACAAATATCCACCAGAATTCTATTGATGTGGATATAAACAACTATATGTCAATGTAAGCCTTTAGCAATGAGCAAAACCCATACCATATAGTCAACTATAAAAGGCTTTTACATGACAAAATTTGAAACAATTCAAACAAGAAAACCAACGGCCTAATTGATGCTTAATCAATAAACAAATACACAATTATTACAGACAGGGAACCCAAGACAACAGTTAAGTTAACCCATTTTCTCCAAAGATAGTTATTTTTTTTGGCCTTATTATACCCCTGCTTTAAAAAAGGGGGGTATACTGTTTTACCTTTGTCTGTCTGTCCATCCATCTGTCTGTCCATCCCATGAATATTTTTCGTTACATCTTTCTCAGGAACTACATTACAAGGATTTCTGAAATTTGGTTTCAGGGTTTATATGAGTCAGCTATACTGTGTGATGCATTTTCAGGTTCATCACTCAACAACTTCCTGTTTACCGTATACTTTTAGTGGGGCGGGGGTATCATTAGTGAGCAGTAGTTCACAGATTCACTTGTTTTTGTTTTGTGCAGCATAGGTTGTCTTTTTTTTTATTTATTTTATAGGGCTAATTAAATCCATCGATATGTGCTTGGAGAATTCACTTATTGAAGGTAAAAGAAATTGTAAAAAACAGCAAAAAGTGAGAGAAGAACAAAGGAGTCAATCAATAAAATGTGAAAGAAAAACAAATAATTGTTAAAAAAAAACAAGACAAAAAGACCATCAATTATAGTTCACAAAACACTACATAAAAAACTAAAGACTGAGTGACATGAAAGCAACAAGCCTTTATTTGGTCCCCATAGAGAACTGTTTAAAAGCAAAATTTTTCTACCTTTTCAAATAATCCCACATTTTTCAGTTGCAATCAAAATTATATGCCACTTCAATCTTTGGTAGTCTGAGTCTTTTGTAGAAGGAACCAGCATTTTAAAATATGACTAGTACCATTGATGCATTTTTAATGTCCTTGATCACATTGATTTGTTTTTCTTTCTAAATATGCTAGAAATATTTTCTTTTAGGTCTGTTTATTATATTAAGAATCATGATGATTGGCAATCAAATTTCCCGTCTTTCCAAAACCTGAAATAAACCATTTGATATATGGAAAGATATGTGATACTGGTGTTCAACAGGATTTTTGAAAAATATAGTCTTTATCAGTAGTTTTAATGCTACAATGTATTTGTGATGAGTACAATGATTGTCAATAAATATTGTGATTTGGGGTGTCAAAAATTATTGGTTAGTCCCATCCTCCAGCTTGTAAGTGAATAGATGCAAGGAAATAAAGCCTGATTTCTCATCTGTTTTAAGAGATTATATTTTATGAAAATTAGTTAAGAGGTTGACTTCCTCCTAGAAAAAGTACAAATTGAACATGAACAATTATTTGTAGATTGAAATACATAAAATGTTTATTTGATTGATTGTTGGTTGCTTAACACCATATGTTGACATGTAGATGCCTGTTTTCTTGCCTTTGCTTTCTATTTTTGTTTGTTTCTGGAGCGATAAAAGCCAAATGGTTCGAAATCATGAGCCAGAGAAAAAAAAAACACCTTAAAAAACAGGAACAGTATGATTTCACAATGGACAATTAATCTGCCATCACCTGCATCCAATTTTAGCACTTGATGTATCTCATAATCTGCGGAATGTAGAGACCATTCTTGGCTGCTTGATACTTGTTCAATCACAAAAATGTTTTGTACAGTACAAAGCGTACTAAATGTCAGTTAAGAATAGATAATATATCTTGCTGCCAGGGCTAAACAAATCTGGAGCATGAGATCTGTAATTAGCAAAATCTTGTGGAAAGATGCTGAATAGATTAAAGCCCGATTCATTAGTAATGTTCATTGTTTGACACTTGAATAATGTTCTTAGATGTGAATGGATTAGGCCACAATTCAAGAATGAGAATTATCTAGAAAAAGAATTTGAATTAATTTTGTAAATTGCCGGAGCAGTAAAAAAATGACAATAGTTCCATTTGAGATACTTGGTGATATTCCTTCAGAATAATACTGTAAAAAGGTGATTTCTGGCCGTAACAGAAATAGATAAATGCCACGGACTGTTTCACACGAGGAACCGGTTGTGTTAATTATTAAACAACAGCATTTCAGGTTTAAATATTGTGGAGGTGTTAACTGATGCGAATATTCGGACGACTCCTCACAAACGGAATGTATGTTTACCAAGTTTGAAGTGAAAGGCTGATTTTATGTTTCAATAAAATCCACAAAACTACATTTATAAGAAATCTAATGAAATGCACTAACACTTTATACATATAACAACATCATCAACATGTAGAAATCTATAATCATGAAGTCATGAAATAGATATTCACAGGCATGCTTAAAATCTTGATTGTCATAGGTTTCAGTAACTAAACTATAATACTTAGCTATAATACTTTTATAAAAACAGTCAAAGATAACGTAATGTGTGTATACAACACTGAATATTAAGTTGATGAGATGAAGTACATTGAAGTGTTTCATCGAGACATGCTACAGGACTGAGGTAAATAATTCAAATGAAAACAGAAATAGAAAATTGAATAGTCAGCATAACAAATATACCAGACAATTCTTTTGACGATTAAGACATGCTACAAACATGGGACCAATATATCGGTATGTGCCTGTCGAAAATCGGGAATTTAAAATTTGGGTTTGGTAGCTTTCAATTCATTTGCAATGTGTTTAGTCATCAGACGAATAGAGTTTGACACACTATAAAGATAACTGCGTCTGTTATGTGTGGTTTGGTTGCTCTTCCTTTATTTGCCCCACATCTGTTTCATATTTGCTGAAATATTTAACTTCATGATAATCAAATAGTCTATCACATCGTTCCATTCTCTTTTGCTTGAATTGGAATTCCGACTTAGCACCGGAAAACAGTTGTTTTACCCACTTTCTTACAAACAATATTAACAAAATATATCTTTAGATTCAGTGTTATAAATGTGATGACAAAAAGACGAAGTAGCCATATTTTTCTCTTTTAATATGTCAGTAGCATGGAACACTTCAATAAAATCATTTAAAAGCAATAACATATATATGCGTATCGCATCATTAGTGACTTTACACAATAGAGGTACCCTGTTTGTCACAAGTTTTAGTTTGGACGTCAATTTGAACATTGAAGACTCTTTATTTTTTATAATTATCAATAATTTGATCTCTTTGTATTTTACAAAGATTTACATTTATAATGTAACATATAAAAACTAACGTATTGATATTTGGTTTTTTGAAATTTTATCTCTCTGGAAAAGGTGAAATAAATACTAATTAGTAGCTACTGTCATCACGAAATGTTACGTGGCAGCCTTAAAAAAATAGCTAATGTACTGAAAAAAAGACAAACAACAATAATTGGTGAGTATTTTACATTTTTCTACTAGAAAACTAAATTTAGTTTATTAAGTAACCACAATTCTAACCGCTACACTCGTAGTATTTCCAATAAAAATAAGGAACAAAATTGATCATATCCATATCATGCTTTAAAATACGCGTTCGCCATAAGTGTTAATTCACATATTGATAAAGAAATTACCGCTGTTTGAAAATAAAAGAAATTGTGATTTAAGTTTTATGATTACAAAATTAAAAGTATAAAGAAAATACCGAGGTAAATTCAAAAAGGGGAGAGTCCATAACAACTGAAAAAGTCAAATGTGAGACCTTATCAACCAATGGAACGCATGGAAAACAACCGTTATATTTCTAACTTTGTATATGATACAAATGATACATGTGTGACCAATCCTGGTAGTTCTGGTTTGTTCCTTAAAATTTGAAATGATATTGTTGAGGGAAATTTTTAAAATAGTATAATCTCAAATTTTCCAAAAAAAGCTTAAAAAGCGTCATGTGAAATATCCGACGTCACTTACATTCATCTTTGTCAAAACGTACCAATTAAACAACATTCAAATCACCCTCCCCTGCAACTTTCATACACTCGAATGAAACACTCGAAATCCAGTGAAATAATGAATATATATATATAAAATACACACCCAAATATATATTTATAATTATTTATCTAAAAGATCCCCGAGCAAAAGTTAACCTCGGTTTGAACGGAGGACAAAATGTGCCTGATTTACAAACAGTACGGAAAAAGGGGCATTATAAACGTGTCGTAATGAGCCTTCCTATCTGCTCTGTCAATCATCATAGAATTTGGACATTAGCCAGTAGACACGTTATAGATAAAGAATCGTCTAAAAGTAATATTTACAATCGTATGTCCTTGGTATGTACGGAAGGCTTTAAGTGTCTGCTATACAGACGAACAGCTAGTTCAAAGCCAATAACAATTAAAAAAAAGTCATGTATCTAAGATTAAAATCAATCAGTACATAAGATTTTCTTCACAACGTTGGTTAGTGTCTTTTCTGAATACCTGGTTGTTCATGAATGTGATCCTTTGGAATGTGCTGTTTTTCAGAAGAATCAATCTAGCAACTTATTCGTTTTCTAAAAAAGTTGCTAACCAAAAGTTGTTACTATTGACATTAATAATGCACTTTTCAAAATATTTGCTTTATTCAAAAATTATTTTTTTGCACTGAAAATTTATAATCCATTTAGGCTATAATACCCATTTCGGTGTTATTGTCCTCAACCTATATCAGACGAATTTGATCGATTGGGCCTTGTAAAGTAGGTATATGCAAACGTTTGTTCACAAATGCGCTAGCCGCACGAGTTTGAGTTCCGACTAGGGCTGTCGTAGACCCACTGAGGTAACTTCTACGATTTACCAGATTTTGTAAATGTGTGATTAGTAAAATTAAGTTTATATTTATTCGTGTGTGTGTTGTGAATATGTGTTGTGTTTAAATTTTACTGAAATAAGCACGTGTTAACCGAAAAAAATAGTGTTAAAAAGAGTTAGGCGTGATTTTTAAACAACTAACTAATATTGTTTACTGCCCAGCCAACCATTCTTACACAGTAGGCTAAGTCAAGGGTAGCGTAAATGTAAATAAAGGCATCAATAAATGTTTTTTTTTAGATTGCATTGCGAAAAAAAAATGTTTACATGGTGGATGTATAAGATACAAACATAGCATATGAGGGAACATGATGAAGGTTGTTTCAAAAAAGATTCTTCGAGCAAAGCAAATCCTGTATTCATGTATATATTTTTGAATTCTTAAACTCATGAGAAATATGCCTTCTGTTAACGGAATACTCAAACTATATTCCAAAAAGACTAGCGGATACTGTTCGATGAAATTGTTCACATACTTGTCATTTTGTCTTTATAGATAAGTGTGTCATAGGCAATTAAACCACATCTCCTTATTTTATTAATGGAATCTATTTGATCTGAAAAAAAATAGTGTTAATAAAAACTTACCAATGTCGAGTAAAACATGCTTCTTTTCTGAACAAAGGGTCTCGTTATAATAATACGTTCTGTTGAAATATTAGTTTCAGACGGCAGGAATTATCTGATATAACTGATAAACGTAATATGCGGATACTATGTTATTTTTGGCTGTTCTTTCTCGGCATGTACGTCTATAGTTATCTTGGACTAGGCAAAAGATAACCCGAGAATTTTTCATGCTCGGTATATACGGAGGACCAAAAGTTCGAAAGATCATCAAAACAATTTCAATAAAAAAAATGTATGGCAACTGTGCTTGTCTTTGACGTTAACGGATGTCTTTAATTTCCAGCTTGATTATCAAAATATATTTCAAACGACTTCTGGGGACCGCTTAAACAGATCACCTTTTATCTTTGCTGAATGCAGTGGGCTGAAATCACATATGCCATCCCTTGTAGAATGGTCGTTGAAATAATGTAAACTCTGTATCTGTCCGATCATCCATCTATGTGAAGTGTCATGTATTGTCCAGCTAACTTGTACTGTTTTCATATACGAACTGTTTTGCTTACATAAGGTACTTGTGTTTAAGCCAAATGTGTGCTGATCTGATTTTAAAACAAAATTATAAATTTCTCTGTATTTAAGGCCCGAAAGCCCCGGAATGTCAAAATGTAAAACAATTTGAAACAGAAAACCAAAGTCCTCATTTATTATTAAAAAAGAGGTAATATACCAAAAGGAACAGTCGAAAATTATGTCCAATTAAAACAGAACATCGCCATGACCGAAAAACACGAACCCCTCCAAAAACCTGGGGTTAACTAAGGTCCTCCTGAATTTTTAGCTGTTCATGCTCCACACGTGGCACCCGTCATGTTGCTAAAAAAAGAAACATTCCGGTGATAAGTTGTTTTGATAATATCAAAATCGAAGAAAATTGAATATATCAGTGGTCATCTTTGACACAGATATTCAATAACGACCAACCTAGACATGATAGTGTCCGTAAAACTTTGGAGGTGACGGTTTTACCTTAACACTTGGAACACGTCATGCAAAAGCTTCTTTGTAAGCAGTAACCTTCCATGAAAGAAATCATGATAAGAAACAGATGCCAGCGCTTCCATATCGTATCAACTTGGAGATGTATGTAAGAGTCAAATCTATGTCCAGCCTCAGATCGGTATATTGCGTCACAGATGTTACAAATTTATGTCTTGTGTGTCTTTTGTGTCAAATCTATGTCCGTGTGCCCATGCCCATGTTACCGGTTTGTTTGCAAATTATAAACTGCAAAAATTGCGTCCTTTGTTTCTAAGTGTATGTTCAGATCAAAATGTTTTACTTGGTCATATTCCCTGACTAACACTGTTGTGCTATGACTATATCGTTTGCTCAGGCAGTGATGGTTAAAGTGGTTGATATTGGGTAAATGTCTACGGGACAGAAGAACACCAGAAAATATACAGCACTTTGACCTTCTATAAACATAGTGCATGCACTAAAATGTTTAGTATAGAAACTGATACCACTAAGTACTATGTAAATGGACTGGGAAAAGAGACAGAACTAAACAATGATCACCATAAACTAGTTTGGTGAGATTTCAGCACTGCCTGTGTTTTGTTTTTATGTTCGTCAAATAAGTAACGAAACCTTGAAGGCCAAATGTTCTAATAGATTTTAGGTGAAATCAAAGGATCAGATTTAAGTTCCGTGACGTCACATTGAAAGTATCCTATACTTAAGACTCTTACATATACAGGTACTGCTGGAATATTGCTACACAGCAATATAGAAATAATATTGACAGATCGTGCAAAAGGAATATTGCGAAGTTTTAAATTCTCATGCATATTTGGCGATAATGTGTAAAATATCATAAAGCACACATATGATTAAGTATGGGTGTGGTATTCAATCTTAGTGCTTGGTGTGACCGCTGAAGCTAATGGCTTAAAGACCCTTACACTACTTGCAATGATAATGTGATCTCGTGTACAATGATATCGAATGTATTCATGTGTTAACTTATGATACTTATTTTAAAATATACATTGTATTCCAGCAAGATGCAACTATTCATGGTCATTAGTAGTTTGTTGAATCTAATAGGATGTTTTGTCTTTGGAGAAGAAATATCTTTACGAGAGAAATGGAAGAGTCAAATAAAAATTGGATTAGCCGATGGGAGGCATCTTGTTGATATATTTAGTACCGAGCCTAGGTCGAAGGTTTTCAATCAAATCAACTTGATGACAAATTTTATAGGTACTGTTGATAGTCTTGCTTCTTTCATCCAGGAGTTTAATCCTAAAACAGAACAAGAAATTTTTAAAGAATTGAAAAAAACATTTACAGATATAAACAGAAAACTTGAATTAACGAACGACAAGGGGTTTGGTAGAAATTTTAGAGAAATATTTTTCGAACTAAGAAACATTGATTTTAGTTTTTTAATCCTAAATCGATTTCTGGAGAAACTAGAAGAGATAAAATGTACAAGTCAAGAGGATTGCAAAACAGGCATGCAATGGACTATTAAGATGTTTAAGAATGATTTTGATATCGAAGAATACTATTGGCATATCTTGAAGACAACTTTAAACGGAACAAGGTTTTCAAAGGTTTCCCTCATTCAGCAACTGAACGAAACATCAGGATGTGACGAAAATACAATTTTGAGTTTCGGCACTAACTTACTATTGAAAATATTCAAAACTCAGCAAATCATGGTTGTGTATGGGAAGCTTGCTAATAAAAACATTAATTCAATATCACAGATACATAATTGGGCTCAGGACATGTATGAATTCAGAAGCTCCTTACTAAGAGTTGTGCAAGAATGTTCCTCAAAGAAGGTTTGTAAAGCTAAATGTCAAAATGGTAAATGTGTCCACCTTTCAAAGGAAAACCGTGACATGTGTTTTTGTCAAAAGAACTATGACGGAGACAATTGTCAAATACATAACCAAGTTATCTTAGCAAAGGACACAGTAGCTATCATGTCAACCTTGAATCAAGTCCCCAAGGTAAGGAATATTATTGATCTGAAATTGGCAAATAATTATCTAATTGCATCTATGTCGTGTATACGTTTTGCTTATGAAATAATTCAAAAAGTAAGCATTGGGGCTATAAAGAAAGATGTTTTGACGATTTTTGATCTTGGATCCTTTTATAATACATATCTTAGCTTGAGCTACGTGATCAAAGATGCGAGAAAATTAATGACATGTGATAAAACTGTACAACCGGTGTACATCAAATCGAAGTTGATGCGTACTGCGTATCATTTGCATAAGGCTCTATACAAAATAGACTCGTACTTTCATTATCGACGACCTGACGAAATATTTCAACCAGAATCATTGCTGACCAGATTCATCAGTCGAAATAAGAATGAGGCTTGTACATCCAATTTCAAAGCAAAGATAGACAATTTATGGCGACAGTTTCATCTTGCACAGGCAAATGGGTTTGCCGTCTTATTACAAGTTCGGCATGTTTTACGTAAACATTCACCAATTGTTTTAAGCTTATTTGCACAGCGCGTAAATGAACAGATAAAATTTGCAACGGAATCGACTTGCAGTGCATCAATAAAACATTCTCTAAATGTGCATTGTGATCAATTCCATCTAGTAAATAATATGGACATTGAAAATAAATGCATTAAGGGGTATGCTCGCAAGGGTACTCGATATATCAGATGCAAACATATAACATCTGATTGTTTACCCTGCAATTGTAACAATACGGGATCAGTATCAACCATATGTAATTCAGAAACTGGGCAGTGCCATTGCCGAAATAATTTTCTTGGAAAGAATTGTGAGATTGAAATAAAGCAAGACTGTAAATTGAGTGATTGGACACCTTGGTCTGCCTGTAGTAAAGCATGTGGAACTGGAGGGATGCAGAATCGCTCTAGACACACAGTGCTTCCACAAAAGGGACATGGAAAAAAATGTCAAGGTGATAAGGTGGAGAACAGAACATGTTTCAAACGATGTTGTGATGGTACATTTGAGTGTAAAGACAGTTCAAAATGTTTCATGGGATTTAAATGCCAACCTTGTAACTGTGACCACAGGGGATCAATCACTGGCATATGTCAACCTATTAATGGTGCATGTTCATGTAAACCAAAATATTACGGAAGTCGCTGCCAAGGTATTTATTATGTTTTACACAGGAAAGTAGGCTTCTCACTTAAATGTTTTTTTTTTCATACTTCATTACTTTGATGCACTTTTAAATACTTGTATTAATAAATAGTTTTTACAGTATTTGTCTGATAATGTGAATGTTTGTTTAAAAATTGTAGATAGCTATTCATTTTATATCGATGACGATAATTCTGTAGTTTGGAATGATCGATTTTTCTGGTTCACAGACTGACATTTATAGCTATATGAGTGTCGGAAATAAATATTTAGATTTTTTAAATGTCTAACTATTCTTGAAAAGAAACTTATATACTAAGTGTATAAAATAGTGGTCTTAATTTTGATTAAACCAAGCACTTATGATATTTTCACGGTAATACTTTTGCTACATCTATTCTTTCTTTTAAAAAAACGACTTGTTGAAAAAGGGTAAACATTAAACTGATGTTGCTAAATCACTGCATCTAGTATTTTGTAGGATAATTCATAGGTCGAAACAATCAGGACACCATATTACTTTATGACTGAATATACTTATTTATAAAAGTAATCATCGAACAAATGTTCTTCAATCCAATTGTCTGTTATATTTTGAGATAAAAATCAAAACACTAATTTGAATTAAAACTAAACGTTTCTTTTGTTTGTATCTATTACACTGATTTTTCTTCAATAGGGCATTTGATATTCCTATACGAAATTTATTGTATTTCCTGTTTGCACATTTTGCATGTTCACTGATGTGATTAAAAAAGGACGGTTTAGATCTGACAACGTATAGTTAAACACTGCCATATGTTCATATGTGTGTCATAAGTCTGGAACCTCGTTAGTGATTGTTTTATCGCTATATTAATATTTTGTATAAGTTTTTTTGTAGGCCCAAGACGATTAAGGCTTTAACCAACACTTTAAAACACTTTTCGTTCAAAGCAAAAGACTTGTTTGAAAGAAATTCATTAAAAATTTCAAAAACGTTCTAGAACAGCGTATACACGAGTTTTTCAATCGGAAATAAAATAATAAATACTCTCTGGTCTGTACTTAGTGTCTCTTTTTATATTTTGGAGATATATAAATTCCCTGCAACGCCGGGTTTGTGGTTTTGTTAGTTGTTTTTCTTTTGTGTATCGATCTAATGAGTTAAGCAATTTTTAACTGATTTTTGTAGTTTGTTTTATGTTGTACTGTTACATTACTTTCCCAGGTAATGGGCGGTTTTGGTGCCAACAAACATGTTTAACCCAACCATATTCTGAAAATGCCTTCCCAAGTCAGTAGCCTATAATCAATTGGTTGTTGTTTGTTGCTGTTTCTCATATTTGTTTTTCGTTTATAGTTTCTTCTTGTGTTGTATCGGTACACCACTGACCCATGTTAGGGAGGGATTTACGCATTCAAACAATTTACGCATTCAATATTTTTTCGTTTATAGTTCCTTCTTGTGTTTTTTTTTTTGTTTGAATGCGTAAATCCCCCTAACATGGGTCAGTGGTGTACCGATACAACACAAGAAGAAACTATAAACGAAAAACTATCAAACATGTTTAACCCCGCCACATTCTGTATGTACCTGTCCCTAGTCAGGAACCAGTTATTCAGTATTTGTCGTTTGTTGCTTGGTTTTTGTTAGCTTTCTCGTTTGAATTTTATAACTTTTTATCATTTCGGGGCCTTGTGTAGCTGACTATGCAATATGGGTTTTGCTCATTATTGAAAGCCGTGCAGTGACCTATAGTTGTAACTTCTATGTCATTTGGTCTCTTGTGGAGAGTTGTTTCATTGAAATCATACCACATCCTCTTATTTTTTATATCTATAAAAAAATTCATTTGAATAATTTTAGGAACCAGTAGAATGCCAGCATTAAATTCTACTTACTATTCTAAAAGTATGTTTCAAGAAGAGACGCAGTGTAAAGGTGAAGAATAAAAATAAATCGCTCCTCGTCAAACGATAAATATTGTGAACTGCAAAACAGATTTATAAAGATATTTTAAAAATGTCTCATATCGTAAAACTTTATGATAACACTATAAATATATCGTCATGTGAATCTTATAGTGTTATAAGTCCACTTTTGAAAAAAATGTTGATATCTATATTTTTTTATATCCAAGTGCAATGGTCTATCTCCCTATACAACTATAATACAAGATATCTGCACTCTCCAAGTTTTTGTTAGAAGTACCCTGTTCTATCTCCACATTCCCATTGACTTACTTATCTAGTTAGTTCAGATAAAAATATTTTTATAGTGTTGTATCTCCACTTTTTTGGGGTATTTTTGCTGTAAAATAGTTGTTATCAAAATTATCTTAGTAGTACTATGCTTAAATTGTTTGCATGGTTAAAACTCAATCTATGAGCAGTTCTTAGCAAATCCAGCAGATCAGAATTGGGGATATTACACGGTTAAAAAATCTATGATCTATCTCCTATAGAAATATAGGGATAAATTTCTAAAACAACATTGTTTGTAGTGAAATGTTTTATCTCCAGAAAAGGGGGTGTTTTATTTATCTAAGTTGCTTGTCTATTAAAAAAACAATTGAACAAAACGTTACTCTTCATGTACTTAAATTCGATTCCCATATACCTTTTTATGACTCAGTCAAATATTTAAGATATTGCGCTTTTAAACTTTAATTTAAATTTGTACCACTATTACCAAATGGGAAATACATCATTATTGGATTCACACTACGATATGATAACTAAGTTTTTGTTAGTATATAAAGTATATTCGAAGCATATTTGGTTTTCGAAATATTAACAAATAACAAGATTGATATTATGAAAATTCTTAAATACGCTTCTTAAAACATAAACGAAAAACGAATGAAAGATAGATTGATGTGCAAAAATGTTGTGTGGAAGAATATGATTTGTTTCGTATTAAAAATGCTATACGTGTGATGTGATGTTTTCCACCAACTGTGACGATTTTATAAAATGACTGTTTAAGGTTTTGTTAATGATGAGCCCATATCAAAGATGACAACAATTATAAAGTAATATATTGCCATCACATATTCAGATCAGAATGCCATCAGCACAAAAATGTCCAATTCTTAATTAAGATTTGAAAAATTATACATAGATATATATTTCAATTCTTTCTTTAAATCTTAGAATTGAAACCAAAGGATTGCTCAGGATTAGATAAAAAGGTGCATACGAGTGGTGTTTATAAGATCTTCCCGGATAGTGGTTCTGGTTTTAAAGTTTATTGTGATATGGACACTGATGGTGGTTATTGGACTGTAAGTATTTAGAACTTCAAAAATATACGAAAATGTTTTTTAAGATACAATATTTCATAACCAGTGCACAAACTCACAAAATATTTTGATAATCGATCTTGAAGTTCTGCATGCAAATCATAATATGTAGTTCCTATGTACTGTTTTTTTTTCTTAGAAATTGGGTTACTCTTAAATGACTTAATCATATAAACCTATTCCCTAATCTTATCATGTCTTTGAAAAATTAATATCGAAAACAAAAAGAGAATGAAAAGTCACCAAGTGGACTATTATCACCAGTAAAAACAGACCTCAAAAAAGAAAAAAGTACGAAATGACAAACAACATTACACAAAAAACACACAAAAAACAAATAATTGGGCAACACGAACCCCACCAAGACTGGAAGTGCACTAGGTGTTCCGCATGGGTAAGCATTTCCTGCTCTACTTGTACAACCCGTGGTAAAACTTCAGTGATAAGTCGCATTCGGTAATGTCACGTTAGAAAAAAGAGGAAGAGAGTATGGCTACGACAAGTCGAACATATCCGTGGACATCTGTGATACAGATATTCCATAAGTGACAACAAATCTAATATAAAACACAACAAGAAGAACATCAGTCCATAAAACAATATACAGAAAACTGAAGATTGAGGAAAACGAACACCAACAAAACAGGAAATGAAAGTATGTGCTGCGAAGGGATCAGCAGCTCCTGGTTTTGAAGTATTTCACGCACTGTTAACACAAAAACTTATCAAAGAGATATCAGGCTTACAAATTTGTACGCAAAACGCACATTAACCCTGTTCAAATACGTTGATCAGTCATATAAGGTGATTAAGCATGTCAAAATCGCGTAAAATCTCAATACAAACTTTTCCAGCATTAGAAACAACAAAATTTGCAATAGTTTGTTTTAATTTTAGCTTATTTCATTGAAATTAAGTTTGAAGAAAGAATGTGAATGTGTCTTAATTGCTATGATATCTACTGTACTTTTGTTTTCATCAGAACCTTACTCATAGTAGAACAAATATTTGTTGTTGTGTGTTTGTACATGAAAAAGGATTCCTGAACGGCAAATACATTGGATATACGACTGCTGACGATGATACATGTACTTATTTAAAATGAGATTTCTCGTCAAGGTTTTTCGGACCGGTGCCTTTAATAGCTAACTATACATATATGTTAATCTTTATTGAAGAACGCATGGTGACTAGTCACCTATATTTGAAAAAGGTTCTGTTTGTTTTATGAAGTATTATAAGTTTCAAAAGTATGATATTCTTCCAGTTTTCACCCATATTTGCTTCTTCGATTGCAGTTTGGACGAATATTTCTTTCAAAAGGTCATTTGCCAATCTTTGACCTAAGCAGATTTGATTAAAGACAAATTATGTTGGTCTGTCATATGGTCAATGTCGTCTGAAGTAAAAATATTAAAGAGACAATTTAGATTAGAATTGCGTACTGATGTTTAATTTGATTTTAATCCGGTTTTTCAAATGGTGATGTACGGAGGGCGAGCGGTCGACGGGTGGTTACCAACAGTTTCCGTAGAATAACTTTTCAACCTTTTTAACCAACAATTTTCAAATGTTAATAAAAAATAAAAAATTCTATTACAATATAAAGATGAATTCGATATTGATATATACAATTCAGAGTTATGGTCCTTGATAGATCAGAAAATTGCACACAATATCGTTTCCATGCAATTACGTATGAACTGTTCAAACAATGATACTCAAATTTTAATATTTGCAGGTTTTCCAGCGTAGGCTGAATGGAAAGACAGATTTCTATCGTGGTTGGAAGGAATATGAAAATGGATTTGGTGAACTGAGTGCGGAATATTGGTTAGGTAATCTTAGCATTTTACAAACTTTCCTCTTTCTAGAAAATTATATTATGTCTTATATTTTAAAAGGACTTCCCCATAGCTATTGACTTTTCTATATCTTACAGTACTTACTATCATTCAGTATTTTCTTTATTCGTATTTTTTGTTCATGTTATAAATGGTAAAATAGATATATTTGAGTTTGTTTTGTAAGAATATTCTATTTAAGTCGCATTAACTCCAACATCAAATATATTGTGTATTCGTTTTCCACCAAGAACAAACATCTTGAGGCGAAAGATACCGAAGGGACATTCAAACTCATAAGTAGAAAATAAACTGACAACGCCATGGCAAAACAAGAAAAAGTCAAAAAGATAAAGAAACGGAATACAACATAGAAACCTAAAGACTGAGCAACACCAAAATCCGGGGTTAATCTTAGGTGCTTCTGAAGGGTAAGTAGAACCTGCGCCACATGACCTTTGCATGCAAAAGGATTACTTTGTCAAAGAATGACAGACGTCAGTGTTGTAGTCATATGACGGCTTTGTGAAAAATGTCTTTAAAAAACACAAATGAAATGTAGCGGAGGCCGTTAATGTCATATTCATTCAAATCAAGGAAATCTAACGTATCATTATCCTTATCTATACTCTAAAATAACGAGGTCCAATTTGTTAGCCGGCATGACGAAAAAACAACAAATCAAAGAATTCACCTTTTTATATAACTAATATAGGACAATGGTGTTGATTAAAAATTACACTGTTCAAGGACCTTTTGTTTTCCACATAATTAATATTACCAATAATTAACAAGTTCCGAGTCAAATCCGATACCGATACCAATAGTATATGTCACATGTAGTTTCCGGGTTTTGTAAGAAAACCAGATCGGGTTCAAACAGAAAGATTTTGAAAGCAAAGAAAACTGTGCACCTTATAATCAGCATGACTGTATCAGATGACAATACGAATACTAAAAATCCAGGCTAAGATAAGATGTAGGTACTTAATTAAGTCACGGACCCGCGATGTTGCGGGATTGTTCTAGTATATAGGTAAAGAAAGGTATAAGGTTTATGTACATGATATTATACGTAAAAAATATATGGTAAAAAGACTGCTATGTCACAGCAGAATGTGTTTCCTGCTACTATGGCTTCCCTTCTTTGCATACCATTTAAAATGGTATGATATTCAATGGGACAAACTTTTTAATAAGATTCCAATCGTTATCTAAAACCACGTGTTATTGCTTAAAAATCATATTACAGATTTTTATGTTATTTTAATTTACGATAAAAGATAGATTGATTACCGTTTGACGCGTCTAAAGTACTCAATATGAGTCTGTAATTTACCGATTTTGTCCTGGCGTAAATATATTACGTACAGTTTTGTTATTATAATCAAATTAAGAGAAAATGAAAATTATAACAAAAAATACCATTCGATTGAAAAAAATAGCAAAAAATTACTTAATATATTTACATCAGGACACAATCGGTAAATTATAGACTGGACGACTATTATGGTATAAAACGATCTAAACTTGTTTCGTACAAATATTGGATATTGAGTTCAAATTGATAAACAAAGTCAGAGTCGCAAAAATCAAATCGAATTCCTTTAGATGCGTCAACGGGTAATTAATCCTTCTCCTGGCATAAATACATTAAGTCCCAAGTCAGGAGCATGTAGTTTGTTGTTGTTTCATGTCTGTCATATTTATTTTTCGTAAATTATTTTGTTATAAATTAGACTGTTAGTTTTCTCAATTGAATTGTTTCATATTTTTCATGTCTGGGCCTTTTATAGCCGACTAAACGGTATGGGGTTTTCTCATTGTTAAAGGCCGTACGTTGCCTATAATTGCTTTCATCCACTTCATTTGAACTTTGGTAGATAGTTGTCTCATTGGTAATCACACCACATCTCTTTATTTTCATATTAAAATAAAATTGTGGGATATTATTGTCTGCCACAAGAGAATATCGTCTGTTCAAAGTTATTTTTCTGTTCATATTTTAATTCCTTTTTATGGTTGTAGATCATCGTTTAATCCTTTTTGAAAACATTCTAATTGAATTTTTGAAATTAAAACATATTCTACATTGTAATGATCGAAACATGAATAGGGTAAAACCGAACCAACACTTCAAATAGCCTTTTATGAAAATCAAACGCCATACAAAAATGAGTCATTCAGGAAAACAAGTTACATTTCTTTATTGCTCTTTACGAAGCATGTCAGTTATAACATCATTGGTTGTTATTTATGGAATATGCTTGTTGTTTTCCATTCGATTCGTTGGTAGATAAAGTCTAACGTTCGATTTTGCAGTATTTCTGGAATTCCCCTTTGTCAATTTACCTTGGAGTTCTGTATATTTGTTATAATTATTTTTGCCCTTTACTACCCCTGGGAATCTCAAGTATCACAACAAAATGATAATTAATATTTATGAAAGGTCCAATGAAAAGAAAGCAACATTAAATAGTTTATTGTAAATACATTAAGGTGTATATTTTCGACATTCCATGTTTTGAAAAAAAAAAATTACAAGGGCAAACTTTATATCCTTTAGATGAAACGCTACCACAAGGCTTATATTTAATGTCTTTTCTTCAGGCTATATTGTGGCTATTTACAACTGATTAGATAAATGGAGATTTCCTTAAGGGAAAGTAAGAGTCATTTCACCGAACGTTTGATTGAAGTAATCATGATTTGGTTTATCGTTATGGAATACCTACGTCACATATGACCAAAGATATGTTCCATTTGTATCAACAATCACATCTTTCTTTTCTTAACTTCGGATGTCTCCACTGAATATGACTTATCACTTGATTTTAACTTGTCATGTGTATCATGATAGTTGCAAATAGTTAAGCAGTAATGGTTTACCATTAAGGAGGACCAGAGTTACTAAATGTTTTAGTGTGGTACTTAGTGTTTTGTAAGCTGTAGTTCGTGTTATTTTCATTTTAAAATGGTTTTGCCCTTCTTTTAATTTTTTAGGTGTTAATTGCCCTGAAAAAATCCTCTTACTACTCGATACAGTTTTGTTGAAATATCTCTATTTGGTGTGCCTGACGAAATCCAATATTGTATTATAAAAACTGATTTAATATCAGTAAAATATCTATATATCTCTCGAATCTTCTTTATATACATTCAAGCTGATGTACATGTGTAGCATACTAGTAATATATAGCCAACGTCTGTGTTAATACTACAAGTATGTTTGACTATAGTTTATTGAAATAAAAAAGACAAAATCAACAACTTTTTTTATAAATTTTCACTTTCATGAATACTCTTATTGTTTTGTTCAGGTAATGCAAAAATACATCGTCTGACGTCAAGTGGAAAATATCAACTACGTATAAATTTAGAAGACTTCAGCGGAAACCATGCATATGCTAAATACAAAAACTTTTTAGTTGGTGACGCTTCAAGCAAATACAAATTGACAGTCAGTGGTTTTAGTGGAAATGCAGGTAAGGTGCTCAATAAAGGTTGTACATCATACGGCTACCCGTTTAACTTGTAAGGTATCAGACTGTTGCAAAATGTTGCTGTTACACATTATTAATTAAAGCTTCCACTTTCTCCCTTTTTCGCAAATTAATTTGAGACTCGGTATCGAACTAGTCGGCTGAAAGTTATATTGTAATACATTATGGTAAGTATGGTTTACATTTCTAAATATATTCAAAAGAAAGCAGGTAGGGTGTATCAAAATAGCTCATCTACTACTGTATTTTTATATTATCTTTTTCTTCATTTACAAAAAAAAAATCTTTTAATGGCAGTAAATAAGTCATTCTGCTCAAACCAATAGTTTATACCTTACTGGACAAATAAATATTTTTGACATTCGCAAGGTTATTTCTCACATATCATATAATGATACTCGATAAGAACTTTGTTCTTCAAATCGCCATAGAAAAATTCGACTCGGTTCGACCCCTTAACAGCGAATATCGTCAGCTGACACAATTTCACCTCTTGTCAAACATACAAGTCTTAATTGTTTCCCAAGTTCCACCGATGCTAGTGCTATAACAATTTTACTCAACATACCTGTCAAGCCAGTTTCCCTTTTAGCAGTGGTGCAATTTTTTTTATTTCTTGATCGATTTTTACCAAAAAATATTCAACCAAAACCATTTTTCTTTGTTTATGATTTTCAGTGCTTCCGCACCTTTCCATATTTATACCCGAGACAGGTACGGCAAATGAATTATCGGCTGATAAGGCGACTGTCCGATAATTTACATTTAATCGTTATAAGCAATTAGTCTGTTGGGAGGATGTCGGTAAATATCATCTACACCATAGACCACCACACCCAGCGCCGTGCCTTTGATTTTACAAAGGAAACTACAGGGTGCTCAGTGGGCAATATTCTGAGTACTTCATCTATGGCTATTATATCTATGCTAGACTGAATTAAAAGGTCAGAAAACATACATTCATTATCATCACATTATCAGTTATATATGGTTGTTCAACATATCCGTCGGAAAAAAGATTTCACAAAAAATATTATTGTGCCAATCACTTTCATTACTACAAGCATATCAGAAATCCATAAAATATATATCTGCCTTTACCATAAGAATTTAAAAAGTTGCACGGCTGTTCGTTTTATTATTTTTATTTAATAGCTGTGCAATAACAGTCATCGATGTGCTTTATATTGCTTTATTAAACGATTAAAGAACAAGACATTAATTGATATTAATTCCACTCCCGGCATGCCACAGTTTAAAAGTACGTCACAATATACTGGTAAATTCCAATAAATGAAATTAATAATTTCCAATTTTCTTCTTATTAGTGTTCATATCTAAATAAAACTTGGTGAATGTGTTTTTTTATGTTTTTATGAACATAATAAAATGATAAGTAAAAAATCGCGAATTTTCCCTTTAACATTTTTGTTGAATTGTATACAATATACAAAAATAAATCAAAGCTCATGCTCTGTTACACAATAAAAATATTGAAAATGTCAGTTGAATTTCATGATGAACTCACAAAAAGGAAAAATGCAACTATTAGGAACAAATGATTACAGGTATATTGTGTGAATTATTAGTTTGTAAACCTTTTAGATCTAATACTAGTAATGAACCTTTGTACCATAAGAAATTAATAATGTTTTCTTCATTTGAAATCATATTTGAGCCGTTTAATAGTAATTCAGTGTCCATTAGTACAGTTAAACCTTAACATCTGAAAGGTAGGGATGTATAAATACGTAGATTTAAAAAGCTATCTGATCAATTGGTCCTTAGAAATAACCAAATGCATCAAAGGTCAGCGTTGCAGGAGGCAGAAGAGTACAACATCATTTGTTATACGGACTTTCATACGACAAAAGATGTATATGGACAAAAGAATGAATATACAAACTGAACATAAAATTAAAAAAGAAAACGTTCATGGTTTAATGTTTATCCTTTCATTACCAAGCCTGCCAACCAATATGACCGACATGACCAAAAAAAGAACATGGGGGTAAAATGCAAGATTTGCCCATGATCCTAAAAATCGCTATGAACAGAGAAAATCTGGCAGCGACAGAAATGTTAAAAAAAATTGAGATATACCTTTTTTCTATTTACATAGAAACTGTTAGATGACTTCTCACAGGAGTTATTCCCCTTAAAAACGAATACCAAAATATAAAACGCAAATAAACTGATTATGTCGACTAAAACATTTGTCAGTCTCTGTTTAAAATCATTCAAAACTTGTCTGATTTTAAAGCAATTATCACTTGACACGTTTTAATGACTCTCGTCATTCTTTAGGACCATTTGGTTTTTACATCTAGACATCTGTAAATATTTGTTTTCTCGTCTTAAGGGCATACGATACAGTTACAGGGGAGGTAATGACGTTGCTAACGTAAAATGTTTTTTTTTTTCACGACATCAAACTGTGACATAACGGGAAAAGATGCATTTTCGACTGATTTTTATCATTCAGACTGATTTAACTTGTAAAAGAGTTCACGGACCCCTCTTTTGAAAAATGATATTTGCCTTGAATATGTATGAGGATTATTTGCGCCAATTTTTTTATGAACAAATCACCGATGATTTTATTTTCAATTTTATAAATATACAGCAAAAAATGTCGTTCTTTGACTATGATCATAGAAATGTGATAAAAATGAATAATTTCCAAAGAATTGTAACACAAATTCAAAGCACACTTATACATAGAAGATATTCCAGATGCTTTTACAAAAATCCGCTTGCGTTTACCTTTTGAACAAAAAAGTTAAGTATGTCTTTCCAATGAAGGTATATTTTTTATTACATATTTGAATTGACCAGGTGAAAAATAGCTTGTATGCAAACTTTCGTCAAAAATTCACCTTGGGATCAAAACTGTATCATATGCCCTTAATTGACGACTAGAGAAGGACCTGTTAAATAAGATTTATATCAAACCGTTGAATTATAGGGCATTTTTGTTTCAAAATTTGTTTGATTTTCCACAAAGAAGGGAGCCTATGACATTGCTATATTTGTTCACAAAAATGTTAAATTTATTCTTTGTCATATCAAGGTGACAGTCTGGCCTATCATAACGGTAGGACATTCAGTACAAAGGATGACAATAGAGAAACATGCGCAGTAAACTATAGGGGAGCTTGGTGGTATGGTAGCTGTTATCATTCAAACCTAAATGGTCAGTATAAAGGAACAAAAGCAGCAGGAATTTCTTGGTATTATTGGAAGTCAACATATGACAGTATTAAAACATCAACCATGATGATACGCATGGAAAATGTGTAAAAGTATCTCTTATTTCACCCAAGTTATTTTTGTGTGTTTTATTTTATATTTGACAATATTAAAGCTGAATTTGTTTTATCACATCTTCCTCTAGCACTTTTCACAAACCAGGAAGTAAAAACCCCAAAAAGGTTTTGAACTGACAATAAATATTTTTAAATTAAAATTGTAAACTTTATGGATTTTATTCACCATTTTTTTTAAAAGCTTTTGAGTTGCCTCGACAAAATCATTTTTTTTTAAAGAAATATACATTTGAAAGTCGGCATTCAAAGTTTCTTTTATTTTCAGTTTTACTACTGCAACTCGGTTTTGAGTTAACAGGCAAATGAATGTCTATCAGGAATAAATAATAAATCTATTTGTTTTGCGTTTTCTCTGCTGTTATCGAGCAATTTTTGCATGCACTTACTGCTATATCACAAGATCAAACGAACCCAGGTATCCTGCTTCCTTTACACAAATGGTAAAATAATTTTTTCTCTTGTAGTCAACAACAAAATTAATATTTAAAGTTCAGATATGAACAATAAACTGCAATACACATGTTAAATGATAATTGGTTAGAAGTGTATATGGAGCTTTATGGAGTTATTTCCTTTTACAATAATAGAAAATTTGAAGATGTGGTTTGATTTTTAATGAGACAACTCTCCACCAGAGACTAAATGACGAAGAAGATAACAACTATAGGTCACCGTACGAGCTTCAAAAATGACCAAATCCCATACCGCATAGTTAGCCATAAAAGGCACCAAAATGACTAATATGTAAAAACTTAACCGAGAAAACTAACAGCCTGATCTATGTACAAACCCTTAGACGAAAAACAAATATGAAAAAAAAAACCGACAATTTCTGAATTAAAGGCTCCTGACATTGTCTTTCTTTTGAAGAACAACCCGACGATAGGAAGTTTTAACGAAAGATGTTTCAAGGTATAACATAATAACCTGTAAAAGGTCATTATTGATCCTGCTAAGAATGCCAACTTAGATTTGTTGTAACATTATTCACTTGCTTTTACATCAATTTATCAAGTGTTGCGGTCCATTTGAGTTTGGCGCTTAACAATTTTCTATCTTTATTATTCTGTAAGGTTTGTAGGCGAAAACAATCATTTCCTTCATGTATCAGAAAACGTCATTATAGCTCAGTTTAACATTCGACACACATAATATGAAGTTCTGTTGATTCATCGCTTCTACAAAGGGAAATAATGTGAGATAAAAGAAAAAAACAATGACAACTTTTCATTCATTTCATAACACTTTAAAACAAGCAACATTTCATCAATTTATGTATATTGACCATAAAAAAGCAGAAATATAAGACCTGTTGATTCACACCGTATTGGAAATAGTACTATGACCTTAGGATGATCGTTTGTCGTATTACATGTATATTACGATTTTGTGCTGTCTTCATGTCAGTTTGTGCTTTGTTAACATTTATTTTAACCAATTACACAATCCAATAACCTTATATTTTCATTTGCAATGGAGGTACATCCACTTTATTCATTCAGAGAAGGGTCTATACAAGTTTATCCTGATACTCTTCGAACGAAAAAAATATATTTTCAGACTAACAAGAGTAAACATTTATAAAAATTTAACACGTATATTAAAGCCCCCCTTTTATAAAGGTTTTTCGGTCATTATCACGAATTGGTTGAACGATACGATGTATCGGTGTATCAAATCATTACCAACATGTTTTCGCAGTTTAAGATCTTTAGATACCATCAAAGTCGTCTGATCTGCCATTTTACCGATTGTGTTTTATTCCCGCTTGTTATATTTTGACTAAGTATGCATTTGCATGGCAGGTGATGTATGCATATAGGGAGACGATTACTCTGTCGACGCAACCGGTCTCGCTCCTTTTGGAGTGTATGTGATTCCCTCAGTTTTGTCGATCAATTTCTGTTGCCTTGATTTGACCCGTTTCTATTAAAACATGTTATTATTAATCTATAAGACAACACAACTCTGTATATGCAATGTGATGGTTGATGATCAAATTCATCATAATACTGTTATATTGTACATTGTTTATTTTGTGAAATTTAATAGTTACTATAATGTTTAATCCTTTCTTTTGAAATTATATACAAATAACACTTTATTAATTTTGTATGTCCGAAACATTTTCAGGATTTACTTTCACCAGGAACACTAAAACTTTAACGATACCCTCGGGGACTAATATTCGAACAGCAGCGATACAAATCAATTATGATTCATTCTTCGTAAAGTAAAAGTCGGTATTGCATGGTTTTGATTAGGTAAAGTCTATACCGGTAAATGCAATAAGTATAATACACCACTTGTTATCTTCTTCGTGTATTATTTTCATAAAAGTTATAACAAATAATTCAGTGCTTGTTGTTGTTTGCAGTCTGTCAGATTTGTTTTTAGTTTTTTTGTTTATTGTTTTATCATATACCAGGCAGTATAATTTCTCTTTAGAATTGTGCCATATTACCTGTACTTCATGTGGGGCCTTTTGTAGCTTACTATACGGTACTGTTACCAATACTTAACGAGGGACATTAACTATTCGAGTCTGGATTTTTGAATCTCGATTATTGTTGCCTGAATGCGGGGCTCTTATGGTGGAGACACAAATATCAATCATAAAGTACATGAAAAGTCAACTAATATAGTCGTTTTTGTATCAGCTGTCAATATACAAAGGTGTAATGTAAATAGTTGAGTGGGAAAAATTCTACAATTAGATAGAAAGTTAAGATGCATGTATTAGGATTTAATTTATAACTGTCATATACACACTTTTTGCTATTTGAAATGTTTTGGGTTGATGATAGATCTTTTGTTGTTTCCATTTAAATCATGCACTACTACAAACGATTTACAGTTTGATATATTGCAAAGACATCCGTCTATTATGGGTCTCTAAAACACTACAAAGGAGTAATAAAGGAGTATCATAAGAGCACAAATAACCTTAAATAGCCTTCTTTGAATAGTAATATTAATATATCTGAAAAAAGCCAAACATTCATTTTATTTTACCAAAACAATTGCGATTTACAATCTAGTGTAGTCAGTACCGGTTCGGAACTGACTTTATATCCGGATTGTATGATTGCTTATAATGTGAAATTTCAAATGCATATACAAACAAATATAATAATTTTATCATTTTGACATTGAGACCCTGTCATTTCTAATCTGCTAAGACGGCCTTGTATATATATTTGTTTAGGGGCCAGCTGAAGGACGCCTCCGGTGCGGGAATTTCTCGCTGCATTGAAGACCTGTTGGTGACCTTCTGCTGTTGTCTCTTCTATGGTCGGGTTGTTGTCTCTTTGACACATTCCCCATTTCCATTCTCAATTTTATTACATGTAATCAAATATAATTTTTCAGCAGATTAGAATTTTCGAAATGACAGGGTCTCAATGTCAAAATGATAAAATTATTATATTTGTTTGTATATGCATTTAAAATTTCACATTATAAGCAATCATACAATCCGGATATAAAGTCGGTTCCGAACCGGTACTGACTACACTAGATTGTAAATCGCAATTGTTTTGGTAAAATAAAATGAATGTTTGGCTTTTTTCAGATATATTAATATTACTATTCAAAGAAGGCTATTTAAGGTTATTTGTGCTAACATGTTTAACCCCGCCTCATTCAAATTATGATTTCAGAAGTGTCGATAAATACACTTTGTTTTAAATTTTTAATCTGGAGAAAAACAAAGTATTCAGCGAAATATTCTTTCGTTAAGAATTGTTTGTTTAAAAAGGTAACAATTTTTTTTTTGTTATGGGGACCAAGAATTTTCATTGAAAACTGTATCTTGCCCCTTTAAATTTGTATAGGTCATGCGTAAGAATAGAAGTACCAGTCGTATCTGTCGGTACTTAGGAACAGATGATGATGATGGATGGCTGCTTAACGTCCAGCGGCAAAAAATAAGCATATTTAGGACGAGAACATGTTAATGTAATATGAATAATAACCTTGCTTTGTACTAGACCGACACGCTGAGCCAGATTTTTTAAAGTGCTTGTTCACAAGGTAACAGTCCGCAGGCAGACGTGTTACCTTACCCGGATACATTAGCCTGACTACGAGCCGACCGGTCTCTTTCTCCTTAATACCGCGTGCTTAGCGGAGAAGCAGCAAATACCAATTTTAAAGACTTTGGTTTGACTTGACCCGACCGGGGTTCGAACCCACGACCTCCCGCACACGAGGTGAACACGCTACCACGAGACCACCGAGGCGGTTCTTAGGAACAAAAGTATATGCATTGTATGCATAAGCATAACTGAATATGTTCTTTTTCTACAAACAAATCATCTGGAAGACGATCATTATGTATGTTTTCTGCTAATATTATTTTTATATAAACGTTGACTCATGTTTAGAATCTTATGAGGCAATGAAAAAAAAAAAACAACAGCACTTGCTGTTTCGTTTTTATTTTAAAAAGATTGCACTACCATCATCTGTTTTATTCTGTACAATCCAAACGTCAACAGGTTACAATAAAGTCTTTCCTCTTTTTACCAAAATGTTTTGGTACAGAAAACATAATTATGAAGTACACAATTACTATGAACAATATTATTTTGAATTTCTCTGATAAGACACATTTTAGATTTGAAAAAAAATATATTTTGAGCAACCATTCAACACAGATACTATTACATTCATAAGAATTTTGTTTAGAAAAAGTTATCTTTCCCAAAGGAAAACATAGTATTACAAGGTTTGAAAATATTTAGTGCCAATTCACAATCGTCGCTCAAGTTGGTCATGTACCAGTGAACAATATACTCTACAAATGTAAAAAGTAGTCGGTGGTAACTCTCATTCATTGACGTCACAATCGAAAAACAGGATCTAATTCAGTTTCATACATTAATTGAGGACAAAATCCACATTACAGTAAAAAAATAAGTTAGAAAAATCAATATACACTGGAAATTTTAAAGTTTTGTTTTCTGTCAGTACTAACGGATTTGCCGAGTGATATGAACTGAAAGTTTGAACTTGATCATCAATAACGAATGAATTAACATTATTTTATTAACTGTCAAGTTGAAAGAAAATATATCTGAGAATTCTGTTTTAATAAGCTACTTATACAGACTTACTGTTACACCACTGTCCCAGGTTCGGTGACGGTTGGGCGCCCGCTAACATGTTTAACCCCGCCTCATTCTATATGTGCCTGTCTCTAGTCAGAAGCCTGTAACTCAGTGGATGTCGTTTGTTGCTGTATATCATATATGTATTTCGTTCATTGTTTTTGCATAAACCAGGCCGTCAGTATTTTTCGATTGAATTGTTTTACATTTGTCACTTCGTGGCCT